TTAGGACTCTGGGTCTATATTGTTTTATCTACGTGGGCCTTGGGCATGTCGCTTTGCCTCTCCTGGTTTCAGTTTCCTGGCTTTGCAGTGGGGCCAGGGCAGGGGGGAGGCAGCCATGGGACGACATGAAATCCCAACGCGAGCTAGACGCGCAGTCAGTGTTACTTGTGCTGCCTTGTCTCTATTTCCTGGGCTGGGGGGGAGGTTGGGGGGAGAAGGGTAATGAGATCATGGCTGCCTCCTTCTCCCTTATTAAAATGAGCAAGGCTGGGGGCGCCTGGGTGGCTCAGTCCGTTAAGCCGACTGAGCCTCAGGTCATGATCCCACAGCTTGTGGGTTCGAGCCCCACATCGGGCTCTGTGCTGACAGCTGGGAGTCTGGAGCCTGTTTCCGATTCTGTGTCTCCCTCTCTCTCTGCCCTTCCCCCGCTCACACTCTGTTTCTCTCTCTCTCAAAAATAAACAGACATTAAAAAAAATTTTAAATGAGCAAGCCCCATGATCACTGGGGGAGACAATGTTTGACATCTTTTAAAAACTTCAGTTTTAAAAATCGGGACCCTGCGACATGATAAATAGAACAGATTTAATTGCAAACAGAAACATTAACAAAATATTCAACAGCTGGGCCAGGAACGCTTGGGCCACAGGACTGGATCACAGGCATGATGGCCAGAAAACGTTTTCCCACCTGGGAATTCAGCTCAGCCAAGCCACGAGGGCTCATCCATCGTGAGCGAGGTGTGGATAACTCATCATGACACAGGCGTCATCTCCAGAGTGGGAAGAGCTCTTCCCTTCGGCCTCTACTGCCCTCTGCTCCCCACCCCTCCCCTCCCTTCCCCTCTCCTCTGTAAATGGGCACGTTTTGGAAAAGACAATTCCTATGCACTGCACTTTGCATCTCAATGGGTAGCACTTTCTTTATGGGGCTTCTTGCTCTTTTAAAGATGAATATCTTGGAAATAAACATTTTTACGTGTAACTTTCAACCAATGTAAAATCCATTTTCCTTAGAGAATAGCTTGAAGTAAGTAATGCCTCGGAAAGATATTACAGATTTCATCCCATTCCCATTTAGATGTTACGAGCTTTGTCAAAAATGAGAAGATTACTTTGGACTTTCTCAATAGAGGGCCCATGCGATGTTTACTGTAAGAGAGGATCGGTGGATTCCAAGAAGTCAGATGTGAGGCCCTGTGAGATATAGGGATGGTTAGAAAGCCATTAGTAACTGCTGATCACACAATGCATCCCATGCCGTTGGTCCAGATCACAGGCAGGGGGCCCCTGGCTCTCCCGTCAGTGGTGGGTGGGCAGATCTTGTCTGTTTTTCTCTTCCTGGATTTCACGGTCTATCGCTTTCCGATGAAGCCCTGTGATATTCTCTTGCTCTAATTCTTAAACAAAGTACTACATACAATCTTGCATTTTGTACATGGATCAAATATTTTTAACTATTGAGATTTGCATTAAAGTTTTTCGTTGAAGCAGTACTGCTTACACTTTGGGGCGGGAGGTAGAATGGATGATTTTAGAGTCACATGCAAACGTGGATCCTACCCCCAGAAAAATCCCATGTACACAAATACAGTTTTGTACACATTTGTGGGAGGTCGGCCAACCCTTTGAAATTTGTGGATCCCACATTTTAAAAAAGTTCTTGACCAATTATAATATTACAGGTTGTTTTGGAAAGGACTGGTTATATTTTTGGAAAGAATCTGGGAAAATTTAAATAGCATGGACAATTTTCCCATAAAACGGTTTTCTAGTAGGATGCTTAGTGCTGACAGAAAAATGCAATATTTGATTGTAATAGGAAGACTCAAGAATAGCACGTGTACGATGTACGTTTACATTGTTCTAAAGTGTGTATCTCCAATTCATTGAGAACACACATAAAAAATTACAGACATTGGATATCCTTTTTTTCTCCCTCCAAAAGAAAAACTCGGGAATAGGCCTAGCAGGGTGTGGGGGAAGGGAAGTATGGCCGGATGGAAAGATCTGGAAGATTCCCAGGGTGGAGCATGTGCTTGATCAAGGGATTTCTAGAGTGCGGAGGGGCTGATGCTTGGGCTGTGTTGGAAGGTCATCCTCAGCAGAGAAAACAGACCAACCAGCCAAGCAGTGCCTGTGGGGAGTGTCCTGAGTGCCAGCCAGGACTCAACCAGGGCTTGGGGACACCGTGGAACCAAAGCACTGGGCACTGGGGACTGCCCTTTCTCTGTTGTATAAATCCGTGTCCAATGTGTGTTCACCGGTTCAAGCCAAGATGGTTGGGCCGTGCCTTTGAAATGTTGCCATTATCGGTACTCGCTGTCACCTTCTTGTAAGAAAGAAAGATGTCCTCTTGCTGACCAGTCCCCTGCTCATCATTAGAACAACTTTTTCTTTGCAGCATAGGTACATTTCCAAGAGAAAGCTGGCTCAACGGGTGGTTCTATTTTAGCTGCTGAGAATGTCTTCAAGCTCAGAATTGGAATCACAGGGTAGATCTGTCTCCTCACAGGTGATGCTTTTGTTGACTTTCCTTGGAAATTCAAAGGCACAGTGGACCTTGGAATCTACTCTCTTGTTTATGGTTTTATCTTTCTCTCTCCTCCAACTTTTGGCAGGCTGGCCGGGGGCCCACACTCTGTGCCTTGCCGTTCCTCACAGCTGGGCCACAAGATGTTGGACTCCAGCTTCTCCCTCCGGGCCTGACCCCTGGCAGGCACAGCCATGGGCCTGAGCTCTGTTTTCCTTTGTGCTCCCTGTACCCGTGTGCTTAGGTGGCAGACTCCACAAGGGGCTGCCTCTTTGTGCTCCTTGGCCCCTGATGCCGTCCTGCTGAGCAGTTCAACTGGACACTAGTCCTCTGCCAAGGCCACGTCACTCGTTAGTCAGATAGACTTTCCTCTGCTGTCACGAGTTGTGTTATTCCGTAGGGCAGCATCGACAATATCAGACCGTCCTTAACGTTGGCCTCCTTAGGCGGTGTGGGGAGGGTGGCGCCCCTGCATGCACAGCGGACAGCCGGGAAGAGACTCGCTGGGCCCATGGAGTGCCTGGGGCAAGAGGAAGGTCACGCTAGAAAGGGGAAGCAGGTGCAAAAGCTTAGGCCTTCGGTGGAGCTGACTTCGTAGCTCAGCCAATACTGAGGCAGAAATAATTTTTGCACCAGGTCCTGATGTTACATCAATTTTTTTTTTTTTTAACTTTAGAGAGAGACAGAGAGAGCGTAAGCTAGGGAGAGGGGTGGAGGGAGAGAGAGGGAAACCCAAGCAGCCTCCATGCTTAGCCACAGAGCCTGATGTGGGGCTCAATCCCACGAACTGTGAGATCATGGCCTGGGCGGAAACCAAGAGTCGATGCTTAACTGCCCGATCCACCCCGGCGCCCCTGTGAATCCGTTTCTGATAGTTGGATACGTCCCGTAAGTGGAGTCTTGCAGGGTGTCTTTTTGTAACGGGCTCATTTCACTTACCCTAGCATCCTCAAGGTTCATCCATGTTTTAGGAATATGGTAGGATTTCTCTCTTTTTAAAGGCGGAAGAATGTTTCATTGTATGCTTATGTCACGTTTCTCTTTACCCCTTCACCCATCGACGGGCGTTTATGTTGTTTCCACCTCTTGGCTATTGTGACTGGTACCGCAGTGAAATGGGGTGTGCATACATTTCTTTGCCATCCTGTTTCATTTATTTTGGATATATGCCCAGAAGTGGGATTGCTAGGTTATGCAGTCATTCTTTTTTTAATTTTTTGAGGAACCTTCATAGAGTTTTCTATAGTGGCTGCATTGTTTAACATTCCCACCAACAGGGCAGAAAGCGTCCAGTTTTCCTGCATCCTCATCAATAATCATTATTCACTATTTTTTCAATAGTAGTCATTCTAATGAGTGTGAGGTGATGGCCCATTGTGGTTTTGATTTATTTGCATTTCTCTGATGATTAAGGATGTGTTGAATATCTTTTCATTATGCTTATTGGCCATTTGTGTATCTTCTTTGGAGCAATGTCTGTTCAAGCCCTTTTCCCATTTTTATTTTATTTATTTTTTTAAGAGACAGAGAGAAAGAGCACGCGTCAGTGGGGGAGGGGCACAGGGAGAGACTGACTCTTTTTTTTTTTTTTAACATTATTCACTTCTGAGAGATGGAGAGAGACAGAGAGCATGAGTGAGGGAGGGGCAGAGAGAGAGGGAGACATAGGTTCTGAAGCAGGCTCCAGGATCCGAGCTGTCAACACAGAGCCCAACATGGGCCTCAAACTCATGAACCGTGAGATCACGACCTGAGCCAAAGTCAGACGTCCAACTGACTGAGCCACCCAGGTGCACTGGGAGAGACAGGCTCTTAAGCAGGCTCCATGCTCAGCGCAGAGCCCGATGCTGGGCTGGATCCCATGACCATGGGATTGTGACCTGAGCCAAAATCAAGAGTCGGACACTCAACCCACTGAGCCACCAAGGCGCCTCAAACCCTTTTCCCATTTTGAAATCAGATTATTTTGATGTTGTTGAGTTGTGGGAGTTCTTTATATCTTCTGGATTTGAACCCCTCATCAGATATGTGGTTTGTGAATATTTTCTCCCATTCTGCAGGCCACGGCCGTGTTGGCACACGCTCTGATGTGGGCAAAGCCCACTCCCTCCATGAACTGAAGAGTTCCTGTGGAATCCTTTCAGACACGATCTACAGATAAGCTGGGTGTCACAGACCTTCCACTCTCTGTGGCCACAAATACCTTTACTCTTGACTCTCTCTCTCTGCCATTTGTTGGGTGACAGGCCGTTGTTGCCACCTCCATCTGAGAGACACGGAGTTCAACTACCCATTTTGTTTTATCTTATTTTGGCTGTGACCAAAGGAATACAATCACCGGATTCAAAGATTTTCATGGACTGTTTAGTCAAAATTCTTTTTTGTAAAAGGGCTAAATCCTTGATGCAGCAATTTGCAGTCTGAGCCTCAGAACTGATCATTTTGCTCTGCCCCCTTTTCTTGTTCAGGTTCCCACTTGGTGCTCAGACACGTTCAAAATGAGGAAACATCGACACTTGCCCTTGGTGGCCATCTTTTGCCTCTTTCTCTCAGGCTTTTCTCTTACCCGTGCCCAACAACAGCAAGCAGGTAAGATCCAGAAACATTTATTACTTTTATTTACAGGAAGATGTTCGCTGATGTTTAGATCCTAGACCTCGTGAGCTTGAGCTAGAACTTAGATGTGATTTAAGGGATGGTGGAGCCCTGTCTCTCAGGACGTTCATTCAATGCATAGACTTCTCCAGCTGCTCTTCATCCAGTGAGAGATGGCCTACTTTTACTAACACTTGGGTTTGATATCTTGGAGTTGGTTTGCAAGTGGTTTGTTTTTACATTGGGTGTGAGCAGAATGCTTGTATCACAAACACTTCACCGAAATGAAGGGCTTTTCCACATTCCTGGCCTTGGTTTGGCCTCACAGCACCTAAAACCAGGACAAGACAATTATTGAGAGTAAACATTATTTTCCTTGAAAATGAAACACCCGGATCACCCTCTTTCTATAGTTCTGGACACAAAGACGTTTTTCATCTAGAATCATCCAGTCTTAAAAAAAACGTGTTTCCCCACATGATGAAAAAAAAAAAAGATCCAAATTAACCCTCTTAAGAATTTGCTTGCGGAGTTTTAGAAAACTTAGAAATGCTTCACGCACTGTGAGTTTGGAAGGATGGCCCTGAGTCTTTCTCTCCTTTGCCTGGAGAGCTGTGTCTCAGGCGGGGATTTTCCCACTGGGCACAGTGGTCCTTAGATGGCGGGAGGTGAGCACTGCCTCAAGGAAAGGGGAGCTGCTTGGGGCATCAGGGTAATCTGAGGTAAGTTGAGTCCGGAGCTGGCTGTCTACGGCCAGCCTGGCCCACAGCTGCAGAAGGACACGCCTCGGGCACCCTCAGCCTGGCTCCCTGAGCTTCCTGCCCCCCACCGTCGAGAGGGGATTGGATTCTCTCAGAAAAAGATGAATGATATCCCACATCTGTGAAGGCTCTTCTGGTCCTGAAAAACACGTAGTTAACTAGTTAGGGTACCTTGCTTCATTCTAAAAAGTCTGGGAAAAATGAGACCTTGCTTTTCTCTCCAGTTATTCAAGTCTTCAATTTAGGAAGACATACTACGTTTATTTTTCTTGCAAAGTGCCCCACGCATCGGACACTAGTTGGTGTAAAATGGTTGTTTTCACTGTTCCTTCTTCTCGAGGCCCCTTCATTTCAGAGCCAAAAATGAAGAAGGAATTTAGAAGATGGTGGTTGGTTATCTTTGATGGGATGGCTTGGTCTCCTCAGGTGGGTGTCGGGGCTCAAACTATCACAGAGAATCATGCTTGAGTTAAAAGACACTTCAGGGCATGTTTTCGCCCCCATTCTGGAGCCTGCTACCAGTTCATGGATGGGGTTCATTGTATACGGAACTTGGGCCAGCGGTTGCTCACCACCAGGTGTCCCCGTGCTCAGGTCCCTGCTGTTGAGGTAAGTCATCCTGCCCGCCTATAGAGCAAGCAAGGTGTGGGCCACTCAGTAACAGCACAGCGTGAGGCGAGTTAGGTTAGGAAGGCTTTGCGCCGATAGGAAGTAATTGCTTGAACAGGAGAAAAATCTAAACCAATGTCTTTTTTTAAAGATGTCAAAAATGGTGCCGCTGCTGATATAATATTTCTAGTGGATTCCTCTTGGAGCATTGGCAAGGAACATTTCCAACTTGTTCAAGAGTTTCTATATGATGTTATAAAATCTTTAGCTATGGGAGAAAATGATTTCCGTTTTGCTCTGGTCCAGTTCAACGGCAACCCACATACCGAGTTCCTGTTAAATACGTATCGTACTAATCAAGAAGTCCTCTCCCACATTTCCAACATGTCTTATATTGGGGGAAGCAATCAGACTGGAAAAGGATTAGAATACGTAATGCAAAATCACCTCACTGAGGCTGCCGGAAGCCGGGCCAGTGACGGAGTCCCTCAGGTTATTGTAGTGTTAACCGATGGACACTCGGACGACCGCCTCGTTCTGCCTTCAGCGGGACTTAAGTCTGCTGATGTTAACGTGTTTGCAATTGGAGTTGAGGATGCAGATGAAGGAGCGTTAAAAGAAATAGCAAGCGAACCACTCAATATGCATGTTTTCAACCTAGAGAATTTTACCTCACTTCATGACATAGTAGGAAACTTAGTGTCCTGTGTGCAATCATCCGTGGCTCCAGAAGGGGCTGGAGGCACAGAGACCCTTAAAGACATCACAGGTAATGGCAACATTGCCAAGCTGCTGCCTGCCTCGCTGTTCTTTGGAGATAAGCTTGGCAACTGCTGGCATTAAAGCAACACTGTGGCTGAAGGATGGGGGCGGGTGGGGTGGGTCAGGGAAGAGATGGCTGTTCACAGGTGTAAAAACAAAGGTTTAATCACACTCTGTCGTCTCCTAAGATAGCGCTTCCGCCTACATCCAAGAGGGTGTTTTCTGAAACAACGAAATTTTATTTTATTTTAAAAAGGTTTTTTTTAGGTTTATTTATTTATTTGGGGAGAGAGAGAGTGAGAGCGAGCAGGGAGGGGCAGAGGGAGAGAGCCTCAAGCAGGCTCTGCGCCGTCAGCACAGAGGCCGATGCACGGCTTGAGCTTACGAACCATCAGATTGTGACCTGAGTGGAAACTAAGAGTCAGAGGCTTAAGTGACTGAGCCACCCAGGTGCCCAGAAATAATTAAATTTTAACTCTAAAAAACCCCATTCTGATATTATGATCCCACGGGAGGTACTTCTACGATGCTTAGTGAAGGAAGCCTCAGCGTGGTGAGGCGGGCATCTAACAAAGACCCCTCCCGTCTGTAACTGGGACAGAGAACCCGTGTCCTGGAGGGGAGGCGCTGTGTTGTGAGTGCACGGCAGCGCTCGCAAAGAGGGAGTGATGGAGGGGCAGGAGGGTCTTCTTGGGAAGGACATCCAGAATGGAGGCAGGTTAGTTCCTGCAGCAGCCCAGGCGGGGTCCTGCCTGGTGGGGAGGGGGGGGCCAGCCCACGTGGGCCGGGAGGGGGAGGGGCCTCAGAGACAGCTGGGCGTGTGACCCCAGGGACGCTGCCACCATGTACGGAGGGAGACTGGGAGCACATCGTGGGGGTGCAGGAGTTTGGAGAGATGCTCATGGACTGGCCCTTCCATGAGTGGGCACAGTGGCCAGGGGGCCCCTGGAGACCTGGGATCCAGTGCTCAGGAGGGTTAGCCACAGGAGGCGGATGCTTCTCTGAATCCAAGCGGGTAGAGTGGACAGGTAGGCTCTGCACCACCCCTGGGAGGTGATCACAGCCCACTTTTCTTCTAAGCTTTCCAGAGTGGTTGCCCCCCAGAGGGCTCAAAAACAGGAAGCAGGAGGCAGGGTGACAGTCGGAAAGTCAGTCTCTTGTTAATTCAGCATGTTGGGTGGAGCCGGGAGAAGAAAGACTGGGGATTTTTAGACATAAATCAGCCAATCTAACTTTTTAATGTTTGTTTATCTTTGAGAGACAGGGAGAGATGGAGCATGAGCAGGGGAGGGGCAGAGAGCGAGGGAGACAGAATCTGAAGCAGGCTCCAGGCTCTGAGCTGTCTGCACAGAGCCGAAGGCAAGGCTCTAATTCACAAACCGTGAGATCACGACCTGAGACCTGAGCTGAAGTCAGATGCTTAACCGACTGAGTCACCCAGGTGCCCCCAAATCGGCCAATCAGAAGGGCCACATGGGAGGGGCTTGTGGAAAGGCAGAAAGGGCATGTGGAGTCTGGAGAAAAGTAGGCTTCCTGGACCACGATCAAGATAATGGGGGAATTGCAGGGAAACAGTATGGACATCAGGTTTTCATAACAGATTCAGGAAGTGAGGGAGAGGGACCAGGAAGACTAGATGTCAGGGAAAGACCCAGCTGTCCCGGGAAGGCAGAGCTTGGATGGGAGAAGAGTTTCAGAACTAACCATCCGCAAGGCCTGTCAGAAGGCTGTTCATAAAATGGTCCGCCTGGTGGTCGCCCGTGATCTCAGCTTTGACGGAGGTGGGACTGCTAATGTCCTGCCTGCGGGTCTACTTCTGACAGAGGAGCCGGTGACCGTCTGGATTCTTCCCGATTAACACTGGAAAGTGCTCTGTGCTTCAAGTGACAGGCCTCACCTGTGTTTTATGACACATGTGTTGATCCTGCCAGATTATAGGAGAAGAAGGTGGTCCCCCCCCCCCCCCCCCCCCAGAATGTCCCAAACCAAACACTCCGGGCCACAAGGAAATGCTATGAGGCTGCCTATACTGACTTTCATCAACAATCACATTTCTGAAGGTAGGGATGATAAACCATCCACGTCAGAACAGAGACGGGATCAGTAAAACACAGGACATCTTTTCTTTCTTGCTGTTTTGGCCAACTGAGGGAAAAGAGCGGATGAGTTCGCTTTTATGTTTCACCATTCTATAAAGGAACCATCGTATTCTTACATGAATGCTAAATGAGCCTACCGACATAGTATGTTTCCACACAGATTAAAAAAAACCCCAAAAACCTTTGTTTTTATGCCAAGAAAGCATCTCTGTCTTCTAGTGTCCAAGCCACTAGCAGCTCCATGGTGGAATATTAATCCATTTATGTTGTCTTTTCTGATTAACTTCACTCTGCAGTTCCTCCAGTATCAGCCCCATTGCATGCTCCACAGCCTAAACCTAAAATAATAATCATCCTCTGCTTCCAGAGGGCACGATAGAGATAGCTAGTGAGTCAGGGCCATTTCTTTCCATCACCTGTCCACTAGGTACCTCTCCCCCATACAGTGTTCTTGACCATAAACTATGATGTCTTTAAAATGTTCATGGTCCCCCACTGTTCTAAATGAACTCTACTCATGTAATCAGTTTCCAAAGTTCGTGTTTTTTAAGAATGTCTTTGTTAGTCTTTTACAAATGCATATCGCTAAGATGCACAAAAGCTTTGCTCAGAAGTGAAAGCCAAAAGTGGTCTCTATTCGGTGAGGATTTCAGTGTAAGCCTTCTCTTCTTTGCAAAAGATGAAGATTTAAAACACTCGTGAAATCAATCTCCAATTTTGTGTTTGCAGAAGAAATGCATGTACGATCTTTTTAATTTTTCTTAAAAAAAAAGGAAGCATCCCATGAGCCGAGGAAGGCATTGTGCCCACACCAACACGCTCAGGAAAAGGATGTTTCCAACAGTGTCGAAGGAGCCTGCCTTATCCATGAACATGGTGAAACTTTTCTATAGAAAATGCCACGAAGGTGTGATATATGAGCCACTAAAGCAGAAAACCAGGCAACTTCACGTTTTAAGTTTTAGTTAGACATGATTATCCTTAGAATGAACTCTGGTCATTGGTACGCCTTGCTGTACACAAGAACCCACAGCTCTTGTGTCTGTTTGAGGCTTCAGCTCACCTGGATAACACAGCATGCACTTGTGTGTCCCATCATTGTGTGTGTAAGAGGACAATGTTGTTTTTTTCAGTGATGACAAATTATCCACCATTTTTCTATGACATGTTGCAGTTCAGCCTTTAGGAAGAGAAAAGGTCAAGGGTTTTCCCACAGGGTGTCCCTTCTTTATATACTATTATAAATTGCAACCCAAAAAAGAATGTGATAAATTAATGAAAAAATAATAGGTGAATAAGGAAGATGTCATCCTATGTGTTAGATTATCGTTTCTCTCTTATTGAGGACCCTAGGCTCATGGCTAATCCTTCTTTTAAATGACTTTGGTGTACAAATTGTCCATGGTCTCTCGGAGTCATTGGGTCACTCCTCGGAGATGTTGAGGGATATGGTGGTGTGATGGACAGAGTATGTGGCTCATATGATGATGAGGGCCATTTCTGTGGCCCTGCACCCTCCCAAAGATCCTTCGGGAATCTTATGTTTTGGCTAAAGAATAGCAAATGCTTTGGGATTCTTAGCAAAGGCCCACTTATGTAATACTTTCATGCGACCTTTATTAAGAACACAAGATCTTGATTACTGTTGCAAAAAAATTATCCTTCTCATTAGATCTCATATTTCCAAGTTAGTATCTTTCCCGATGCAAGGGATTCACCTACAAAAACATTATCAGGGATGGTGTTTAGTGAGGGAAGAGAGAGTTCTTCTGATTCTAGCAATCTCTGGCTCAGCTCCCATATGAGGGAACTTGGATAAGAACATAATTTCACTATAGCAGAATTCTTTAATTTTATGAGATAGGACTTGTATCTTACTTTACTTGTAAGTAAATAGTATTTACTTACTATTTCCACAGTAAAAATAAAAACAACTTTTTCTGGCACAAGGAGAAATTAGTCTTAAACTTAAAACGTTCACTGTCATTAGAAAGATCAGAACGCATGGTCTTACACATAATGTTGCGATTATATCCCAGATACCACTTCCTAAATCTCAGAATATAAATATCACAAGGGTGCCTGGGTGGCTCAGTCGGTTATGTGTCCGACTTCGGCTCAGGTCACAATCTCACGGTTCATGGGTTCGAGCCCTGCGTCGGGCTCTGTGCTGACAGCTCAGAACCTGGGACCTGTTTCAGATTTTGTGTCTTCCTTTCTCTCTCTTCCCTTCCCCCACTCATGCTCTGTCTCTCTCTGTCTCAAAAATAAATAAACTATTAAAAAAAGAACATAAATATCACATGTGCTTACATAGAATCTTTTCCTGTGAAATGTTAAAAAAACATTCATCAGAATAATTTGGCTTTTCCTTTAGTTTTAAATCGGTCCAATTTAAATGTTCTAGCTGAGCCTTTTGAAATAGTCCACTCAGGTTTCTAGGTTACTAATTGCTATTCCTTACCCAGGGCTTCTGTGAAGTCCCCATTCTCCATAATGGAATGGAAGTTTCTAGTGTGCCACTGTAGGGAGAAAAGAGGCCTAGGTCCCCGTTCTTATGTCCATCTGTATAACCCAGAGCTAAACCTGATCCAGGGCTTATGAGAGGCTCATGGTCTCGCTAGGCAGCCGGTTTAGGGTGTCATAAAAATAAGGTTGGATAATTATGTCATGACTGGTTCCATATCACTCTGCTTAACATTGTTCTGCATTATGTGATTGAATACAGAGGCAATAGCACAAGTACACGAACAAAACATCTAGCCTGACCCCAGACCTGCACGTGAGTTCCACGCAGCTCAGTGTCATATGAGAAAAGAAGATCAAACCAAACATTTATCAGACTGTTTTTAAGATTCAAACTTGAAGTGTAGCTTGAGTTCTTCCTTTCAAATTCACAAAGTTGTGTGCAGGCAGCCATCTTGGTTTTTAAAGGGAAGAAACAGTAGTCACTCTAGGAATCGGGTGTTCAACACACTCGGATGATACCGAACCCTGACTCTGAGAGTCTGTTTCCTACCTGTGGATTTGGACAAAGAAAATTCCCATGAGCACTTGGGGATGATAAGAGAAACATCCAAAAATTCGAAATCATGTTTGGACCTCCTGTAGGTATGGTAGCGCAGAATTCCATACAACCACATTTCCCTCCAAATTTAGTAGAACTTTCTAGAGTACGATCGCGTGATTTCTCCCTCAGAAAAGTGGATATGTTTTGAATTGTAGCCACGAAGATGGCACAAATGAACATTTGATGTAAGTGTTCCTGTGTTACACCATCGTTCCCAAGGAGTTGCCTCGTATCCATTCAGAATGCAGAACTAAAAGAGAATTTCACATTCCTTAATCAACATGTGTTTTGTTTGTCTGTATTTCGTGTTTCTTATTGGTTTCCAAAGAAACATGTCAGAACACTGAACAATGCATGTGGTCACTTGTTCTAATGCTTTCACATTTTTTGCATTTCTTTCTTTTAAAGCACAAGACTCTGCTGACATTATTTTCCTTATTGACGGATCAAACAACACCGGAAGTGCCCATTTCGCAGTCATTCGCAACTTCCTTGTTAATCTCCTTGAGAGACTCTCGGTTGGAACTCAGCAGATCCGAGTGGGGGTGGTCCAGTATAGCGATGAGCCCAGAACCATGTTCTCCTTGGACACCTACACCACCAAGGGACAGGTTCTGGATGCAGTGAAAGCCCTTTCGTTCACTGGTGGGGAGCTGGCCAATATCGGCCTCGCCCTTGATTTCGTGGTGGAGAACCACTTCACCCGGGCAGGGGGCAGCCGAGTGGAGGAAGGGGTTCCCCAGGTGCTGGTCCTCATAAGTGCCGGGCCTTCTAGTGACGAGATCCGAGACGGGGTCATAGCCCTGAAACAGGCTAGTGTGTTCTCGTTTGGCCTCGGAACCCAGGCCGCCTCCAGGGCAGAGCTCCAGCACATAGCTACCAGTGACAACATGGTGTTTACCGTCCCGGAATTCCGTAGCTTTGGGGACCTCCAGGAACAAGTACTGCTGTACATTGTTGGCGTGGCCCAAAGGCGCATTGTCTTACAACCGCCAACCATTGTCACGGAAGGTACGTATGCTCTCCTCGCCATCCGTGTGGCAGTGGGGTGTTTGTGTGTTGGTTTTTGTAGAAGTCAGGCAGGCGCCTCCAGAATGCTTCGCCTCAGGAGAACCTGTAAGTACCCACGGCGGGGTCCTTCCGAGATACGCTAGCTCTTGGACGTGCAAAACAAAAGGTCCACGAGTGAGTGGAAAGCTCTTGTTAATGCATGCGTTGTCAAGGAAGTGTGCTTCTGGGGTGAAGTGAAGACAGTCCTTACCTTGAGACTATTCAACATCATTGTATTATTCACTTGTGATCCAGTCGTCTGAAAAAATGGATCTCAGGGGCTCATTACAGTTCTGAGAAAACTAGTCCAGAACAATGGCATGGCCTCTAAGTCGGTGTGTTACAGGTGTGCTTGTAGGTACGTGAGGGCTGCCCCAGGGGCCCTTTCTGGGCTGGGTTTTGAGAACTGCACTTCTGAAGGTAAGAAACAGCAGAGTACTCACTTGGCGGGATGTTTATGAGAAACTGTTTTCCTGTGCTTCCCAAGTTTCAGAGTAGTTGTGTTGAGTGGGGAGATCATGACATACGTCCATTCGAAGGGCCTTTGGCAAAATAGCCCAACTGGACTCATTAATAAACATGAAACGAATCACGTCACATGGCAAATATACATTTAAGAAATGTGGGAGGAAAACGTGGTTTCCAAATGTAAATAAGAATATGGTTGGTTGTGCCTGATGCTGAGACCGGTAAGATTTAGGCAGATCCAGTTGAACCAAATTACATTAACTGGGGGTCTCAACTATGCCAGAGGTTACCAGTGGTCTTCTGCATTATCGCCAGGTGTGGAAAATCGGAATGGATGTGAGACCTGGCCGTCGGTCCCTGCTCTTATGTTAATCAGCTGTGTGATCCTAGACAGGCTGCACAACCACCCTGGGCTCCAATTTCTTGATTGTCTGACAAAGGAGCTACCCTGGATGACGATATTTCTGTTCCAGGAGAAGTTTCAAATTCTTTATTCTTTTTATTTACGGCAGCACGTTGCTCTCATTTCAGTTTCCCCTAGCTAACTCAAATATTACTTCCTCACGTACGAACAGCATCTTTAATCTCTGTGACTGATTTGTAATAGCTAACAAATATTCCCAGCTGTCTGGTCTGAGCTGGATACATAGTGCTGGTGGACGAGAGAGACGTGGCCGCTGGCCTGTTAGGGGGTAACGGGGCGATGGTAGAAACGTGGGGTGATGGTAGAAACGTGAGCCAATGTTCAGAAGCCATATTCTGAGGGTGAGAAGTTGTGTGAGGGCACCATGGGGCTGTAAAGAGAAGAACGAGGGGGGAGAGAGCGTTGGACAGGGTGGCCAGGGAAGGCTGGTTGGAGAAGCTGCAAGACAGAAAGAGGACAGCAGGGGAAGAACAAGGGACGGATAGACAGTGTTCGAGGTGTGGTGGCCCTGGGACACCGAGGAGCCTGCCCTCTTTCCAGAATGTGTGGCAGGCAGTGGGGCTGGGGCTCACTTGATACACGGAGGCTGGAGAAGCAACTGGTTTAGGGGGTGAGCATGAATGGTTTTGCTGTGTGTCACGTGCAAGACGAGTATGGGCCTTGGGTGCCGACAGCCACATGTGGGTTCAGAGGAGAGTTCTGGGGAAGGGCCGGAAAAGGGGGCCAGGCGCAGGGGCTGTCCTTGTACAGCTGGCTAAGGAGAGGAGTGTCCTCGAAAGGAACCCGGGAGGGCCATCAGTGACAAGGAGATGCCACAGAGTGGAGCCTTGGAAGCCTGGTGCCAATGGCGTGTCTCAAGGTCTAGAGAGGTCGCCAGGGCCCTGAGCGGCTAAGAAGCTGAGTAGAAGGAGCCCCACTGCGTGTGTCCACATGTGCAGGTCACGGTGGCCTTGGCTGATCAGTGTCACCGTGGTGCTGGTGGCGTGTGGGAGGAGGGGCGGGAGAAGCCGGTGAGGGCAGAGGACGCGCCCCGCGGGAGGAAGTGGTGCAGGTGAGGCCAGCAGCCCACTGATTAGCAGGACCTTCAATTTCACCTCCCAACAACGGTATTTCAAACCCAGTCGGAGCAGAAGACAGCTCTGTTTGGGTTGGCATCACATGCCAGGAAGGGGGACGTCACTTACTGGAGGGGAGACAAGGGCTGCCCCTCCACCAGCAGAATGAATCGTCCTGCTGGTCAGGATGACAGCTGTGACCTGTTTTTCTATTCATCTCCCGTATATATTACCTGTATATATGTATATGCAGACATCGGATGCCGGAATCTCAGTATCACTTCTGTATCATTGGTGTAGGAAGGGTATGGGTGTGTGCATGCCACCAGGCAGGCTCACTACCCGCGTGTGCAAAAACACACGTGTGGTTAACTGTGTATACGTGCATATATGTGCACATATGTATGTCTTTTATGTACATGTTGAGGGAAGGAAAGAGTAGGGCTGTGTGGCATTCCATGTCTTTCGCATGCACATGGAGGGAGAATTCCTTGTGTACACACATCTCTATGGAGAGTGTAAGGACTTGGAATTCATCCTTTGTACCCCAAGCTGGTGCCAAAGCAATGGTCTCCATGTGCCTGTCCCTGTGTGCTTTGTATCTGTGTGTGCATTTACATGTTTTCTCTCTTTTTTAAAATTTTTATGTTTGATGTTTCATTTATTTTTGAGAGAGAGAGAAAAACAGAGCATGAGCAAGGGAGGGGCAGAGAGAGGGGGAGACACAGAATCCGAAATAGACTCCAGGCTCCGAGCTGTCAGCACAGAGCCAGAGGCGGGGCTTGAGCTCGTGAGCTTTGAGATGGTGACCTGAGCCGAAGTTGGATGCTCAGCTGACTGAGCCACCAAGGCGCCCCTACATGTTTTCTCTTAAAAAGGAGAGTTTGGGGGGCACCTGGGTGGCTCAGTTGGTTAAGCCTCGGACTTTGGTTCAGGTCATGATCTCACGTTTATGGGCTCAAGCCCCACATTGGGCTCTGTGCTGACAGCTCAGAGCCTGGAGCCTGCTTCAGATTCTGTATCTCCCGGTCTGTCTGCCCCTCCCCCTCTCATGCTCTGTCTCTCTCTTGTCTCAAAAATAAATAGAATTTTTTTTTAAAAAAAGGAGAGTTTGGACCAATAATGTCAATATAGCCGAATGTCAAGGTACATAATTCACGTGACAGTGTGGCGTGACCAAGGCCTCCTCACGTCCAGATAATTCCTTAATAACCTACAAGCACTCCTACCTCTGTATCCTCATGAGTGTTGGGAGCCCGAGTAGGTTTTTGGATTGAGTGTCGTGCCTGACACAGTTCTTTGTGCCCGTGGCCCAGGTAGACGTACGGCAGGTGGACACAAGCTTAGAGTCACAAGCCAGTGACCTTGTCCAGGTGTCTTTGTTTTGTAGTTTATCACAGTCCTAATACGTAACTTTGCACCTTCACAACACAGGTGTCTTAAATGAAAATCCTGTGCCACTTGCTGGTTTTGATTTCCTTTTAATAAGTTTTATGATGTCACGGAATTATTTTTTGTTCTCTTTGCCTGAAAAACCCAGGCAGGGAGAAGAGAACGGAAGGCAAAGGGGGTGTGTATGCTCTATAATTTCATACTTGGCAGTCGGTGTTCATGAAATCACAGTTGTGAGATGAAGCACCCTCTGAGTAGACAGACACCAATTGCTCCTTTAATTGTTTAAGCTATAGCTTCATTCTGGACTCTCAAATCTAACCTGTAGGCTTTTGGTGGAAAGGAGCTTCCTGGATTTTCTACTGACAACATGGTGAACAGGTGGCTGCTAAAGCTCATTCTGTTTTTGTGCAACTATTTAGCCAAAAGTACTAAGTGGGGGTGGGTGGGTCCGGAGCCCTACCTGCCACCCCATAGGGGGGATGCAGCTGGCACTGGTGTGTGTGTTACGACCAGTTCTTCGGGTGCTCCCGCCGACCTCACACGGCCAGAGTGAATGGGAGCGCCACGCGAGTAGAGTTAGCGGTAGAGATGGTCATAATTGAATGTGACAGGTAAGGCCATTGTACTCACCTTATAATGTTGCTACCTACAGTCATCGAAGTCAACAAGAGAGACATAGTTTTCCTGGTGGATGGCTCATCCGCACTGGGACTGGCCAACTTCAATGCAATCCGAGACTTCATTGCCAAAGTCGTCCAGAGGCTGGAAATCGGACAGGATCTTATCCAAGTGGCCGTGGCTCAGTACGCTGATACTGTGAGGCCAGAGTTTTATTTCAATAGCTACCCCAGTAAAAGGGAAGTCATTACCGCCGTGCGGAGAATGAAGCCCATGGAAGGCTCGGCCCTGTACACGGGCTCTGCTCTGGACTTCGTTCGGAACAACCTATTCACTAGCTCGGCTGGCTACCGGGCCGCCGAGGGGGTCCCTAAGCTTCTGGTGCTGGTGACAGGTGGTAAGTCCCTAGATGAGATCAGCCAGCCTGCCCAGGAGCTGAAGAGAAGCAGCATCATGTCCTTTGCCATTGGGAACAAGGTTGCCGACCAGGCTGAGCTGGAAGAGATTGCTTTCGATTCCTCCCTGGTGTTCATCCCTGCCGAGTTCCGAGCAGCCCCTTTGCAAGGCGTGTTGCCCGGCTTGCTGGCGCCTCTCAGGACCCTCACCGGAACCACTGAAGGTATGGTGGGGAGAGCGAGTCAGACGCACGGCAGGGGGGTCTCCAGGCCGAGCCTTTGAACTTAGATGAGAGGCAGCTCTTAAATGACGGAAACAAGAGCGATAAACAAGTTTTATTTCAGCCTTCCTTTAGTTAGGAGTTGTGTGACTTAAATGCTAAATGACACAAGTGTATGTTTTAAAATGTCATTTGATGCGAATGGTATGGCTTTCCATGTCATCCAGTAGAAATCTTATGACCAAGACAAAAGGACCAGGACCACCCATCCTTACGGCTTCTGGCCTTGGAGGTCACTTCTCAGTTGTTACCTCTGGTCGGATCCCAGGCTTCTGTCTCTCCTGGCGACTCCTGTCCAGCCGCCTCCTGCCACCACCAAGACGTGGCCTGGCTCCTGCTTTCCTGAGCTGACAGTCCCCTCTCAGTGGCCCAGCCCCGACCAGTGCAGAACATTAACCCTCTCTCCTCTCTCTAAGGGATTTTCCTTCAGCCAGTAAATGGGCATGGAGACAGAAAGCCCAGTGGTTTCCAGAATCTTTCATTTACTATGATTACCAGTGAAGAGTTATTTTTAAAGGCACGATAGCGGGCTATGAGCTTACAAACAGATGAGTACAATTCGCCGTCCTCAATGAAGATGAATATCACAGAAATAAGCTTTTCCGCCACACAGCTTCACCACTGGAAGACTGTCGGATGCATGACTCGTGTTGCATGATGCATGCTTTCTCCCCAGGCTCTCTGCTTTTCTGAAAGCCTCCTTCCCTTCTCCTTACTTCGTGCACTCTTCTGGTCCACACTTTCATGGCCAAAGTTGATGGATAGGACCTAGGATGAAATTCGTTGTTAGGTTTAAATTTTAGTGAGACACGAGGGAAGAGAAGGGAGATAATTTTCCTTAAGGCATGTTGTACTAAATGTGTTGCTACACCTTCTCTGATTTGAGCACTCTACTTGGTGATTCATCGTGTGTGTAACCTCAGCCAGACATGGCAGCTAGGCTTTTTGTATTTTAATGTGTTTCCACGATGCTATTATCTCACCCTGAAGGAATTCCTGTGGGCTCTCCATTGCATTGCTGTCTGGCAATGCTGTGACCCCTCCAAAGAAGAAGGGTACCAGTAGAGAATGACTCAGGGGTGGTCCTAGGAATACTTCAGGATGAGAACAGTCCAATTTTATTAAACTTTGTTTAACTTTCAGGAACTCACGTTCTCAGGTGAACTTGGGCTAACACTTGTATTCTATCTGTTAACCGGAAATCTCTCTGCAAATGTGTAGGGGTGAACTCCAGGGGCCGTTGTCTCAGGCATGTCAACTTGGCCGTGACCATGGTCCTGGATACGAGTGAGGCAGAAAGGCACAGGTCCCTGGTAGCATTCGCTTCCAGGGAAGGAATGTCCTGCTTCAAGGATTCTGATCATTTTTGTGGGTTGCAAACATTCTAACTTTGGCACTGTATCTCTCCATGAGCCAACTTGGTTTCGTCAACTTGGCTATCAATATGCCTCACAAACACCAGCTGCCACCGGTGGAAAATATGCAGCCCTCTGCCATATTTTACGAGATGGATATGCTTTGCCTCACCAACTGTCTGTGTGTTCTGAATGTTGGCATGTGTGCCTGTGTCGCAGCCACACATGGTGTGACCTTTGCGGTTGTCTGTGTCTCACTTTGTTTTCTGTGCTCCACTGCAGTTCACGTAAACAAAAGGGATATCATCTTTCTTTTGGATGGATCGTTCAACGTTGGCAAGACCAATTTCCCTTACGTGCGAGACTTTGTCATGAACGTAGTTAACAGCCTCGATGTCGGAAGCGACAATATCCGTGTCGGTTTAGTGCAATTTAGCGACACGCCCGTAACCGAGTTCTCCCTAAACACATACCAGACAAAGTCAGATTTGCTTGCTCATCTGAGGCAGCTGCAGCTCAAGGGGGGGTCGGGCCTGAACACCGGCGCAGCCCTGAGCTATGTCCATGCCAACCACTTCACCGAAGCTGGCGGCAGCAGGATCCGCGAACACGTGCCGCAGCTCTTGCTCCTGCTCACAGCCGGGCGGTCCGAGGACTCCTATGGGCAAGCTGCCGATGCCCTAGCACGCGCAGGCATCCTGACCTTTTGTGTGGGAGCTAGCCAGGCGAATAAGGCAGAGCTTGAGCAGATTGCTTTTAACCCGAGCCTGGTGTATCTCATGGACGATTTCAGCTCCCTGCCAGCTTTGCCTCAGCAGCTCATTCAGCCCCTAACCACATATGTTAGTGGAGGTGTGGAGGAAGTCCCACTCGCCCAGCCAGGTAAAGCTCCCCGACCGCGCGGGGCTCCCTTTCCCCAACACCTCCCGGGTGGCAGGTAGCCCGGCCTGAGCTCGAGTGTGCGGTGACCTGTAGAAAGAAGACCAGATTTCTGTGCTTAAAGTAATTTGGATGGGGGCTTGAAACACTGTACCAGCAAGTTTAGCTTCTCTGTCTAAACGGTGTTCATTAATGAAAGAAAGTCTAGAAAATGCGGCATATGCCCCTCCCATCTGATCTCAGCTCCTCCCCTCTCCTATTTTTGCCACAAAGCCTGTGAAGTTCCTGAAACACAGATCTAGATGGAAGCACAGATCTAGAGTGAGAGGGATTGACACCTTTTCATACCAGAGAATGCATTGGGGTCATTTAGAAATATTAACCAACTAAAGTCTAAAAAATTAAGAAGACATTGAAATCATTTTATTTATAGGATTCCTTTATGTGCAAAATCTGCTGTATGCAGAAAATTATTCTTTACCCACCCAACAGGGGCTGCATCTTCATGTCACGCTAAAATGATTTCTAAAGTGAGGTGGGAATATTATTGTTCTTACAGATGAATATGGTGGTGAGATCCGTCCAGATGAATGGGATCTGCCAGCTTGCTGACCCCACACGGATGGGGAGCGAGACTGAGCCTGCGTGAAGCCCTAATCAAATACCTCTAAGAAGTGTTTGACCTGGAGATTATGTTCCCGTTACATTGCTACCCATTGTGGCCGCCCCCCTCCCCGCCATGGGCCTTCAGCCCTGTTTTCAGTTGGCTCAGTACAGAAGATTGGGATGCCTGGCAGACAGCCTGAACCACAGAGCAATGATGGGCATTATTTGGGGTCCCATAACTTCAAACTTAATGAAAAATAGTCCAGTTAGAGTAGATATGTGTCAAATTAGTTACCTGTGGGTGGTTCACCCACGTCAGCCTTTGGTGCTAGAACGGGTCAATTTTTAAGACCAAGGACCATTAGGTCCACATTTTCCATAGTTTAATTTGTAACAGTTTGGAAACACTGTTCTCGCACAGTGATTGCCGCCAAGAATAGGACCCTCTGGGGCTTCTGTTGTCTTGCTTTCTGGAAGAAGCATGATGCTGAATCAGGTAGACCCATCTGGTTCTAGCCCTTTGCGAATGTGCACTGCTCTGAAATGGGGCATCTTAATGACAGCAGGTGCTTCAGGCTTTGGCAGCGGGTTTTTGCCCCTCTTGCTGGTACAGTGATCATCAGGTGAATTAACTATGTGACCTCCCATTCCCAAATGCTAGCGGCACCGGGCTGAAGTCATTCCGGTGCCTGTTATGTTCTCCTCCCTCATTGTGTGCTAACCTACTTTTGTTGTAGAAAGCAAGCGAGACATTCTGTTCCTCTTTGACGGCTCAGCCAATCTCGTGGGCCAGTTCCCTGCCGTCCGCGACTTTCTCTACAAGGTTATTGACGAGCTTGACGTGAAGCCCGATGGGACCCGGATAGCGGTGGCTCAGTACAGCGATGATGTCAAGGTGGAGTCCCGTTTTGATGAGCACCAGAACAAGCCTGAGATCCTGAACCTGGTGAAGAGAATGAAGATCAAGACCGGCAAAGCCCTCAATCTGGGTTACGCGCTGGACTACGCACAGAGATACATCTTTGTGAAGTCTGCGGGAAGCCGGATCGAGGACGGAGTGGTTCAGTTCCTTGTGCTGCTGGTTGCTGGAAGGTCATCAGATCGTTTGGACACGCCGGCGCTCAACCTGAAACAGAGCCAGGTGGTGACCTTCGTATTGCAGGCCAAGAACGCAGATCCCGCCGAGCTGGAGCTGATGGTGCCGTCCCCGGTCTTCATCCTGGCCGCCGAGTCACTCCCCAAGATCGGAGACCTTCAACCACAGATCGTCAATCTCTTAAAATCCGTGCAGAATGGGGCGCCGACACCAGGTATGGCATGCGAATTCTGGCTGCTTCCGCAGCCCAGAACTGGGGTGTGAGTCACAGTAGGTTGCTGGCTCTCTCCCCCCTTTAATTGTCTAACTGTTCTCAGGGAAAAGCAGGAGAATCAGGGTGACATTAGAATATTTCATAATTAAGGGCGCCTGGGTGACTCAGTCGGTTATGCGTCTGACTTTGGTTCAAGTCATGATCTCACGGTTCATGAGTTTGAGCCCCGCATTGGGCTCCGTGCTGACAGTGCAGAGCCTGCTTGGGATTCTTTCTCCCTCTTTCTCTGCCCCTCCCCTGCTTGAGCACTCTGTCTCTCTCTCAAGATAAAACTTAAAAAAAAAAAATTAAAACAATAAGGAAAGAATTTTTCATAATTAGGCACATTGTAAAGATGTAGACATGTCAGTAGTTAACACTATTTTCACTATAAGCACAATAAAAACCACATCCCATGGATACATTATAGCTAAAACCGTCTTCATCCATATGATCTACCAATGTCTTACTTTGTGGGCCTCACTGTGCTATAATTCAACCACAGTCCATTTATCAAGAATACAAGGCATTATGAGAGGTGGATAAATTCCCACCCTAAACACTGCCCTAAAATTTCCAACTGCTGCTCTACGTTACCGTGACTTTGTGTTTAACCACTTTCCATTTGTTGGTAAAAATACAGTGAAAAGAGTCATTACATGCATGTATAACCCTGTAGAATAAAACCCAAGAATTTTGAACTTCTACATTGACTATGGGGCCCACACGCTGTTGGCTTTGGATGGTAACCCGACATCTGGTCTACATGTTTTCCCGTTCCTCTGCAGTGACTTACAGCAGATCATTTGCAGCCTCCCACCTGGGCAATGTGCTAATGGTTAGGCCGGGTGTACCATCCTGTTTCCGCCCACCCTCCCAGCCCAACACAGTCTCTTGGGGACACCTTGGAAAGTTGCCAATGCTACACAATCACTGGAAGTTCTAAAATAAAGACCTGTCCTTCTATCTACCTACCTATCTATGTTGCTGTATTCATTTTTTATTTCCACTCTACCGGATTACCGTAAATTCAATGGTTTAAAACAAAATGAATTAATTGTCTTCCAGTCTTCGAGGTCAGCAATCCAAAACCGGTTTCACTGGGCCAAAAGCAAGGTGTCAATCAGATTCGATTCCTTTTGGAGTCTCTGGTGGGTCATCGTTTCCTTGCCTCGTGCGGCCTGCTCTCCTTGGCTTGGGGACCCTTCCTCATCTGCAAGGCAGCAGAGGACCCTCTTCTCTCTTCTCTGACGTCTGCTTCTCCCCTTAAAGTTCCTCTTTGAACTCTCATTGTCTTATTTTCCTCTTAAAAGGACTTATGATGGATTACACTGGGTCTGCCTGGGTAATCTGGGACAATTTTCTCATCCCCCAAGCACTTAATTCGGTCATACCCGCAAAGTCCTCATCGTAAGTTCTGGGGATCTGGAATTGGATACCTTTGTGGGGCCGTTATTCAGCCTTCCAAGATCTGTAGGAGATGATCCCTCTTGGGTCCTGTGTGTCATTGAGACTGTCTCCCTCCCAGTTGCAGGTGAAAAGGACGTGGTGTTTCTGATAGATGGCTCTGAGGGTGTCAGGAGCGGCTTCCCTCTGTTGAAAGAGTTCGTCCAGAGAGTGGTGGAGAGCCTGGATGTGGGCCCCGACCGGGTTCGTGTGGCCGTGGTACAGTACAGTGACCGGACCAGACCTGAGTTCTAACTGAATTCATACATGGACCAGCAGAGTGTGGTCGGCGCCATACGCAAGCTGACTCTCCTGGGAGGGCCGACCCCCAACACTGGGGCCGCCCTGGACTTTGTCCTGAGGAATATCCTGGTCAGCTCGGCTGGAAGCAGGATAGCAGAAGGTGTCCCCCAGCTCCTGATTGTCCTCACGGCTGACAGGTCTGGGGATGACGTGAGGGGCCCCTCTGTGGTCCTGAAGAGGGGAGGGGCGGTGCCCATCGGCATCGGCATCGGGAATGCTGACATCACAGAGATGCAGACCATCTCCTTTATCCCTGACTTTGCTGTGGCCATCCCCACCTTCCGGCAGCTAGGGAGCGTCCAGCAGGTGGTCTCCGACAGGGTGATTCAGCTCAGCCGGGAAGAGCTGAGCAGGTTGCAGCCAGTTTTGCTGCCTCCAACGAGCCCAGGTAAGGAGGGGGGAGGTTCCTTGGATCATTGTTTCTAGAAACATCCGGGGCTACTCGTTTGGACTGTGGGCTCTGAGTGTTCTCTGTTGGATTCCTCTGCCCTATGCGGGGAAACTGGCCTTTCATGAAGAATTAGGAGCCACATGCCTTTGGTCTCAGTGGCTGGAAGTGGCACAGGCCTGGGGACATGCTGAGATTCATGTTTTGAGGCAAAGTAAAGTTTCAGAGAGGTGCATGTTCATGCTTTCGCGCAGACCTCCTTCATCTGCTTAGAGGCTTCTGCATAGATATCAGATGGGACGGGACCATCTAGCTGGGGACCCCAGTTCAATGTCATTACTATGCTGCCCCTGGCACATCCAGTCGGCAGCCTTCTGTGATCAGGGAGGGAGCTTGACCATAGGGTCCACCAAGCTGGGGAACAGTCCCTGAAATATTGGCATTTCTAGAGCCCAAGTGTGATGATTACTTTTGAATTGCCTGGTGCTAAGAAGCAAATGGCTTAGCGGGCAGGCCTCCACCTTGTTCTTATTGCTATAATTTATTCTATTTTATCATTCCTGTTCCCCTTTACTAGGTCTGGTTACAGGAAACTAGAAAACAGTGGGAGCCTGGCTGCTGAGAATGAAGGGGGCTAAGATGTATCCATCCCCCTCAAAATATCCCCCGAGGGCCTGCCTCCCCTGGGTACTCGGGTGGGGAGGCTCACAGTGGTGAAAACCCAGATGGCTCCTTGCTCCTCTGTGGCCTACATGCTACAGAGTACCATCTGGAGCCTCGTGGCACGGAGAGGGGGGTAAAGGGAAAGGCAGAGACAGCAAAAGGAAGGGAAGAGTAGAAGCAGGTGAGAGAGAAGTCAGGTGCCGTATACGGTGCCCTTTGGTGAATGAAGACGCCGAGGGTGACTGATGTGTCCTTGCACGGGCTTCCATGGAATGTTCTAAAGGGCTTGTGATCAAGTAAGTTTGGGAAACGGTGGGATAAACAAAGTGAGAGAGGTTCCCTCCTCTAACTGATGTGTTTTTGCGCATCTTATTTGCAAAATAAGAGGAGGACACGTTTCCAAAACTTACCTGACTGTGGGGTCCTTTTGTATATGATGCATCCTGAGGTACCAGTGTGCCCAACAATGTGCTTTGGAAATCTTGTCATAGTACATATGCGACTTCTTTACTTTAAACACAAGCATATGTTTCTACAGCGTAGTTGCTCTGCCATTCTTCAAAATGAGTATTTTCTACCATCATCTTCTTCTTATCCTGCATCTTCTACGCTCTCCTTCTTACCAGAACTGCTGTCCATATCTCAGCCCTGATCTCTTCCCAGGTGAGCTGCCTCTGCCTCCTGGGCACCTGCCCTTTACCAACTCAAGGGCGCCATTCACCATTCTCTCTCCTGCCTCACTGGCTCTCCAACAAGGAGGGGAAGGGTGATTCCCTTTACAGTGCAAACATATCACCTTTTGTCCTTTCTTAAAAACTCTCTCTCGATGCCTGCTTCCCTCTCCAAGAGTGCCCGAGTCTCCTTTGAAAAGAGTTATCTACATCCTTACACTTCCTCTCTGAACCCACCCCGATCTGTCATTCACTGTAGCCACTCCGCAGAAGGCGCTCTTGTCAAGGTCTTTCCATCTGGAAAAACCCAGTGGTCAGTTCTCAGATGCACTTCCTGCTTGATCTAAGAGAACCTGATGCATGTCACAGTTCGGATCACCTCCTTCCTGCAACACCATCCCTACTTGGTCTAGACGTGGCTCTTGTGTGTCTATGCTCTGCCGCCCTCAGAGTTACTCTTCTTTATCCTTTTCCGGTTCCTTCTCTTCTCCCTGGCTTGAATCACCGCAATGCCAGGACTACCTCCTGGGGCTGGCATTTTAGCTGTAATAGTGAGAATTGGGATACTTTGCCTGCCAGGTGGTGATCCCATGACAAACTGGGAGGTGGTTCATGAATACTAAGAATTTGGTGCCCACAGATGTGAAACCCATGATAACGTGTGATTTGCAGGTGTTGGAAACAAGAAAGATGTGGTGTTTCTCATCGACGGGTCCCAAAACGCTGGCCCTGAGTTTCAGTACATCCGCACCCTCATTGAGAGGCTGGTTGACTACCTGGATGTGGGCTTCGACACGACTCGGGTGGCCGTCATCCAGTTCAGCGAGGACCCCAGGGTGGAGTTCCTGCTGAATGCCCACTCCAGTAAGGATGAAGTACAGAATGCAGTGAGGCGGCTGAGGCCCAAAGGCGGGAGGCAGATCAACATTGGGGGTGCCCTGGAGTACGTGTCGAGGAATATCTTCAAGAGGCCACTGGGAAGCCGGATCGAAGAGGGTGTCCCTCAGTTCCTGGTCCTCATTTCATCTGGGAAGTCTGATGACGAGGTAGACGATTCTGCGGCAGAGCTCAAGCAGTTTGGTGTGGCCCCATTTGCTGTCGCGAGGAATGCAGACCAGGAGCAGCTGGTAAAGATCTCCCTGAGCCCCGAGTATGTGTTCTCAGTGAGCACCTTCCGGGAGCTGCCAAGCCTGGAGCAGAAACTGCTGACCCCCATCACAACCCTAACCTCAGAGCAGATACAGCGGATCCTAGCCAGCACTCGCTATCCTTCTCCAGGTAAGATGGGGTACTTATTGTTGTTCTCTGAGTGTTTTTGATATAAAAACATAACAGTTCAAAGGCCCATGGTACTCATGATACATTAAATCAAAATAAAGGGACACCTCACATTGAGCCAGTTGTGTCAGCAAGGAGGGAGGAAGCACATGATGGTGAGTCATGGAGCATCTCAATCAGAGGGTGTTAGGAAGGACTGAGGATAGGATTAGAGCTTGTGGGAGGCAATTTTGTGGGAGGCTTAAGGAAATGCAGTTTGGCCTGGATTGGATATTCCAAGAAGTGGAAGTAATTCTATGATTTGGTATCTTTCTTCATCTTAAGGCTAAAGCCGTAATCGGTAAAGAAGCAGTAGTCATTCCTCTTCGTCAAGATGGCAGGCGTTTGGCTATTTTTTCTTCTTTTTGTCAGTGTGTACATAGGATTTTGATGCTGCTGTTCTGTGAAATCTTTTGTGTTCTACAGGAGAACCCAAGGCCTGGCTCTGTGTGCCGGGCCAGCTTTTCTCTTTCTCAATGTAAATGGCTCAGTTCTATGACTTGCTCAGATTTTGCCACAATGCGTTTCCATTACATGTGGCCCAGTGATTTATGAAGCAAAAGACAGGCCTAACTTGTTGAGTGGCGACATAGGACTAGCTTAATAAAATGGCATCCAAGAAGTACCTAGAATTCTAACTAAAAGGAAAACATGGCTCATCTGTCCCAGACTTTTGGATTACTTTTGTAACTAAAACTGGATTCATGTAAAGAAAATAGGGGAAACGACTGCAAAAAAAAAAAAAAAATGCCAGGGATATGTAGGTAAGACGAAATACCATGAGTCAAATGCCTCGGGAGCTGCTGTGGCACAGTGAGAGAGAGTTGGCATTCTCCAGGTGTCACTACCTAAGTGGTGGCCTTGGACAGAGGGGACCTTTGACCTCAGTCGGCTCCCTCTTCTTGTACATCGATGATGTTGTTCTGGGAGATCTTGATTCCGTCTGGTGGTAACAGCTCATGACTATGGATTCTGGTAATCCAGTTTCTAAATGCTGTTTACATTTTAAAAACTCATTGGAACCCAGACTCCAAAGCCAAAATTAAAATAGAGTAAACTTAGAAAGAGAAAGTTTTGGAAAACTTGGAATATTTTAAGAAGTAGAAATTTGTTTCGGTGAAAAAAAGCCCAATTTTTAATGATGAGTTAAAACATTTTAATGTTTATTTATTTTTGAGGTGGCGGGGGAGGGGCAGAGTGAGAGGGAGACACAGAATCCAAAGCAGGCTCCAGGCTCTGAACTGCCAGCACAGAGCCCAGTGCAGGGCTCGAACTCACGAACCCAACCGTGAGATCATGACCTGAAGTGAAGTTGGATGCTTAACTACTTAGGTGCCCCTTAATGATTAATTTTAAAAAGCTCAAGGGATAAATACATGTGGATTACCTTATAATTTTAATGCTAGTTAGTATCGTGGTGCAAGATAATGCAGAGCTCAGAAACAAAAACAAAAACAAAGCCACATCAACACCAGTCACATACTGAGTCTTCCTCTTCCTTTCTTTCTATTCACAGATGTTGAGAGTGACGCTGCAGACATTGTCTTCCTAATCGATAGCTCGGACAACGTCAAGCCCGACGGTATTGCCCATATTCGGGACTTTGTTAGCAGGATTGTTCGCAGACTCAACATCGGCCCCAATAAAGTGAGGATTGGGGTTGTACAGTTCAGCAATGATGTTTTCCCAGAATTCTACCTGAAGACCCATAGATCCCAGGGCCCTGTGCTTGATGCCATACGTCGCCTGAGGTTCAAAGGGGGGTCTCCGCTGAATACCGGCAAAGCTCTGGAATTTGTGGCAAGAAATCTCTTTGTCAAGTCCGCCGGGAGCCGGATAGAAGATGGTGTGCCCCAACACCTGGTTCTGTTTCTGGGGGGCAAATCCCAGGATGATATTTCCAGGTTTTCACAGGTGATTAGCTCCTCAGGGATTGTGAGTTTAGGGGTGGGAGACCGAAATATCGACAGAACAGAGCTACAGACCATCACCAATGACCCCAGGCTGGTCTTCACGGTGCGAGAATTCAGAGAGCTCCCCAACATAGAAGAGAAGGTCATGAACTCTTTTGGACCCTCTGGGATCACACCCGCACCTCCAGGAGTGGACACACCTCCTCCCTCACGGCCAGGTACGACCTGTGGGACCCATAATGACAGAGTGTGACATCTGTTATTTCTTAATTGAGAAAAAAAGCAATTAGCAATTGCTAAAAAAAGCAATTATGTATTTTCATAATTTCCTTCTGTTAGCGTTGTGGCTGCATACCTCCCTCCACACCTGTCAGACATCGTTGTTTATTTTTGACCAGAAGGAAAGCGTTTAGTGGCATTTCCTAAAACATCTGAGTTCGTGGACTGTCGAATCTGCCATAATGCCATTTTGTATGGGAAAACCAGAACTCAGTTCTCAGTTTCCCCGGGTCCTCCTGTCTCGTAGCTTTTTGTTTAGATGATTTATCATTTGTCTTCTTGTTTGGCATAGTGGTGGCCGTGAATTTGGGCCCTGTAGAGGCAGGGAATAGAGCAAAAGTGTTTGCTGGGAACAAGTTATAGGAGTGTCTTATTCCAATTATTTTACACTGTGTATATTTGTTCTGGATGTGGAAACCAAATTTCTCATTTCCATTTTAACCACTTTCAGAGAAAAAGAAAGCGGATATTGTGTTCCTGTTGGATGGCTCCATCAATTTCAGGAGGGACAGTTTCCAGGAAGTGCTCCGTTTCGTCTCTGAAATCGTGGACACGCTGTATGAGGGGGGTGACTCCATCCAAGTGGGGCTGGTCCAGTACAACTCTGACCCCACTGACGAGTTCTTCCTGAAGGACTTTACCACCAAGCAGCAGATCATCGACGCTATCAATAAAGTGGTTTACAAAGGGGGGAGACACGCGAACACCAAGGTGGGCCTTCAGCATCTGCGGCTCAATCACTTCGTGCCTGAGGCAGGCAGCCGCCTGGACCAGAGGGTCCCTCAGATAGCGTTTGTGATCACGGGCGGGAAGTCAGTGGAGGATGCCCAGGAGGCCAGCCTGGCTCTCACCCAGAGGGGCGTCAAGGTGTTTGCTGTGGGCGTGAAGAACATCGACTCTGAGGAGATTGGGAAGATAGCGTCCAACAGCGCGACGGCGTTCCGAGTGGGGAACGTCCAGGAGCTGTCTGACCTGAGCGAGCAAGTTTTGGAAACTCTGCATGATGCGATGCATGAAACCTTATGTCCGGGTGTGACTGATGTTTCCAAAGGTAACCTGTCCTTTTTATGTACACTTTCCTCCTGTCACGCCGATGTTCAGGATTTGTTCAGAGGGAGGGAGAGAATCCCAAGCAGGCCCCACACTATAAGCATGGAGCCTGACACGGGGCTCGAACCCATGAACTACGAGATCATGACCTGAGCCTGCAACGGACACTTAACCGACTGAGCCATCCAGGCCCCCCTGGACTTGTTTAGACATTTAGATGCCTGGTGCTGGCCTATGGATTCCTCAAGCCTTTGGCTGCTTCAGGGATTGTACTTACCCAGCTGTGTGGTTGGGTCCTGGTAACCACTTAACCCCTGTTATCGATAAGGGTATCTTATCTTTCAGGATAAGAGTGGAAGTCCGTATTTTCTTGATCTCATAAGATGTCTCCCCCCCATTCTTGAATCCCCCGAATAATCTGGACTTACTAATCCCCATTTCTGTTTATAGGTTTCTTAGACCAACTATTTGAGATCAGAGTATTTGAGTTCTCAAGTGCATTTCATTTAAAGCACAGTCTTGGGATGGACGTAGACCCCTGCTGTATAGCAGGCCAAAATTGATTAACACCCGAAAAGGCAGACACATTAAGATGGCCTACGCCTTCAGTTCCTAAGAGTCAGTACTGCTGTTCCCTGAGAGAGAGGCGGATTGAATTGCTTCTCCAGCTCACACCTAGAGGATCTCATTTTCCCTTGAGCATGATGCCTGGTCCACGTCCTGGGGCTGAGCCTATGTATTGGACTTATCTTGGCCACCTTGGCTTAGAGCTCATTGCCCCCTTTTCTTTTTGCAGTCTGCAATCTGGATGTGATTCTGGGATTTGACGGGTCGAGGGATCAGAACGTATTTGTGACCCAGAAGGGCCTTGAGTCCAAGGTGGACACCATCTTGAATAGAATCAGCCAGATGCAAAGAATCAGCTGCAGCGGTGGCCAGATGCCCACCGTGCGGGTGTCGGTGGTGGCCAACACGCCCTCGGGCCCCGTGGAGGCCTTCGACTTTGCCGAGTACCAGCCTGACCTGTTCGAGAAGTTCCAGAACATGCGCGGCCAGCACCCCTACGTCCTCACTGCAGACACGCTCAAGGTCTATCAGAACAAGTTCAGACAGTCTTCAGCAGACAACGTGAAGGTGAGCACGGGCTCCCCCTTGTTCCCGCTTCCCGTGCGGCTTCTAGGTGTGTGCTGGTGAGGAGAGCACCTCCGTGTCCAGAAGCTCCTTCCCCGCAAGTGTTCTTCTAGAAACACTCTTCATGTTTGATGGGGTTGGTGGTGCCTGAGCGTACAAGTGCTTTATCATCACCTGATCCCAATATTCAGAAATGTGATCTCTTTTCCATTTCAATAGTTTTACTTAAGCTCTAAAAAAAAAAAATCCTGGAAATCAGGAATTAAGCTTGATTGAGCTGAATTTGTAATTAATCCATGTTTGATTATGGTCCTGCCCATTAAGTACATCATGTTCTCTGTTTGTCTCTCTTTCTCTCTGTGTGTATATGTATATGTACCTACATATGGATGCATACATATATAGTGTGAACACACACACACACATACACACACACACACACACAGTTTCTAGAAACTGCATCACATAAATAGGAAAATGAGATAAATATTGTTTTTACTTTTATTGTAATTTTTTAAGTAAATCGAACACCACCATATATCCGTTTATTTTATCCCTCCTTTATTGCACGGTATCAAAGAACTACGAGTGGGTAGATTGTTTCTCAACGTTGGCCCGGGTCTCCTCAACTGTGAGATGGAGGGTTTGCATGGACGGGTCCAATCTTCCCGACCCCCCGGGAGGTCATTTCTTTCTAATTTTGTCTGGGGTTGGACACCTCTTTTACTTTAGGTGGTCATTCATTTTACCGACGGGGCGGACGGAGATCTGGCTGATTTACAAAGGGCGTCTGAGGCTCTCCGACAAGAAGGTGAGTAGTGGGCTTTCCAAATGGGACAAGTTGGCCTGGCTGAGACAGGGACATTGATCGCCCTGCTGGCCTCCTCTGGGGGACTCTGGGGACCCCTCCCCGCACCCTGGCCCTCTGTCATCTCCCAGGGGCTACCCCGGTTCCCCTCGTGCCCCAGACGGTTTTCTTACCAAATCCTGACCCAGGACCCTCAGGCTCTCAGACTCATTCAGGTGGTAGAACATCTAGAAATCCTGATGCTTTCCAAGAGAACATGACTTTTTGATCACCACTTGAAAACATTACAATTTGAAGCAGAAAATGCACTTTACTATACAATAAACCATGAAAACACATCTTCCAGATTTAAGGCGACTAGACAGACAGGGATGCCGATTATCAGATGTAATATCTGTTTATTTGCTTTGGAATTTGGTAGCATTGACTATCACAAAGTGAATGCCACACCAGAGGCTTACAGAAACCATAATTTACCCTAAGAATGTTCTCGTTCTTCGCTGGCTTTTCCTGAGCCAGGAAGACGAGATTGCTACTATCTGGCGTTGGAGGGGTGGTGTGGCGGCCCTCCCCATGCACACCTGTGTTTTGTCAGAGTTTGGGAATCTTCGTATGAATATGCTTCATGGCGTCACTTCTTGTATTTCCACTGATTGGTTTAGTTACTGACATGCCTCTAACAATTGCTAAAGAATTCCAGAGTTCTAGTACTTTAACTCTTCAGAGTAGGAAACTGGTTTGATTCAGCATGTTGTAGGTAAAGGTCACATTTTATACTGAAGTGTTGTTTTTTTTTTTTTAATTTTTTAATGTTTATTTTTGAGAGACGAGCAGGGGAGGGGCAGAGAGAGACACACACAGAATCCGTAGCAGTTTCCAGGCTCCGAGCTGTCAGCACAGAGCGTGATATGGGGCCTGATCTCATGAACCGCGAGATCATGACCTGAGCTGAAGTCGGACGCTTAACCAACTGCGTCACCCAGGCGCCCCTGAGGTTTTCTCTGGAATGCCCAGGTGAGCCGCGCTGAATGTGCCTCCCCCCTGCAGGCGTCCAAGCTCTGATCCTGGTGGGCCTTGAACGTGTAGCCAACTTGGAGCAGCTGATGCAGCTGGAGTTCGGACGAGGTTTCATGTACAACAGGCCCCTGAGGCTTAACCTGCTGGACCTCGATTATGAACTGGCCGAGCAGCTCGTGAGTTTCTATGTCTCTTACACACAAAGGGGTCGAGATACCAATTCGTTTTGTCATCTTAAGATAACAAAAGCATTTTTTTTTTTGGCCAAGTGAATGGCAGAGGGGCCCTTTGGGTGGGTAATTCAATTCATTTAATTCACTTGGGGCCTGCTGTGTGGCCATCCCACGTGTGAGTCCTGGAGACGGAGGTATCCAGGAGCTGGGAAAACAGAGCTGGAAAATGGATTCTCTGGACATGCTGGTGGTGTTACCGGACAGTTCCCTCTGCTCCCTTTCATGAACGTCTTTCCATTCCTAAGATGGCTGGGAAGGCAAGACATCAGAGTGCCTGTCCCCAAGCAGGAAACCGTCCTCGGCATCCGAAAGCTTACGTGTGAAAATAAGACGATGCGGGAAAAGAAAGACCGTCTCTGGATGGAGAGGCACCTCCATTGTGTTCTCTCCTAGTTTCCTTTGGAGCAAATAAAGGGGCCCTCATGAGGCTTCCTGATGCGGGGTTCCACCTCTCCGCTGGAGGTGCTAGCCCTGGGGTCGGGAGTGGGGACGGCTTTTGGGGGACGCAGGGCTGAGTGGTGAGGTGTTGCGTGGTGGCAGCTGTGAGCTGTGGGACGAACTGACTGTTCCTTCTTCCCTCCTGCATTCTTCCCAGGGCTGGATTGGGATTTTATTTTTTTTACTGGGTGGAAGGAGGTTGCGTTAGCTGATGCATCCGGGCCATGGAGGACGTGAAAACTCTAGGACACTCACTGCAAGAGAAGTGTTTGAGCAGCACCAGTGTAGCACATGGGAATGTTTGTTGGGCGTGGCTGTCCCTGTAAGGTCAGGGGCTGGGATGGGAAGGGATCGTCGAGGGTGTCAGATAAGTGTGGCCGCACCCCACCAGAGTGGCGGTGTTGGTGGCTAAGGGGCGGGGACCACTTGTGTCGGCCCCACCCTGAGGCTGTTCCCAAGGTCCCCTCCCGGCTGGAGCCGCAGTCTGTGCTCTGACCATGGTCCTGAGGAAGGGCGTATGGCTCTCCATCGGGGCCGCCTTCTGTCCTGGCCACAGGCAGTTTATTTATTATGTTTTGCTCTTCGGGGCTTAAAACTACGTAAGTTACGCTTCACATCTGAAATTTGGACACGTATGTTGGAAACTTTTAGACATAATGCCTAGCCTGCGGTGACACTGTAAGATGCATTTTACTTTGGTTGCTCTCCACGCTCCCACCCTGCCTGCTGAGCGGTCTTGGAGGAAGCGCTTTGTGGGAAGAACGTCATCTCTCACCGTGAAATCCACGTACATCGATTTTGACCTTCACGGCATATTTATGCTTTTTTCCGCCCTAGACGTTTGTTGAGACTCGAACTTTCTTTTCCTTTTGGTAGGACAACATTGCTGAGAAAGCTTGCTGTGGGGTCCCCTGCAAATGCTCCGGGCAAAGGGGAGATCGCGGGCCCATTGGCAGCATCGGGCCAAAGGTAGGGTGGCTTTGCCCTTCTCTGATGTCTGGGACAAGATTTCAGCAGAGTCCCAAGGGTCCAGCACGAGGCCTGAGGGGCACTGAATGCCTGCTGCCTTCTCTCTTTCCTCGGGGCGAGGGGCTCTGTTCTTCATTTTATAAAATAATGTTAAAGTCCGGGGTGCCTGGGTGGCTCAGTCGGTTAATTGTGTGACTCTTTATCTCATGGTTCTTGAGTTCGAGCTCTGCATCGGGCTATCTACTGACAGGTGGAACCTGCTTGGAATTCTCTCTCTCCGTCTCTCTCTGCCCCTCCTCTGCTCGCTCCCTATCTCTCTCTCAAAATAAATATAAGTAAACTTAAAATAATGTTAAAATTAGTGGGCATCACTGACTGGCAGCTTCGTTGCCGACGGTCAAGCAGGGATTCTTGGCATTTGTGTCTAAGTTACAGGAAACCGGCAGGATTTCCTGGTAGAGACGAGCCTTAAAAAGATGCTGATAGATTGGGGCGCCTGCGTGGCTCAGTTGGTCAAGCATCCAACTTCAGCTCAGGTCATGATCTCATGGTTCATGGGTTTGAGCCCTGTGTCGGGCTCTGTGCTGACAGCTCAGAGCCTGGAACCTGTTTCAGATCCTGTCTCCCTTTTTCTCTGCTCCTCCCCTGCTCACGCTCTGTCTGCCATTCTCTCTCTCAAAAATAAATAAACATTAAAAAGTTTTTAAAAAAGATGCTGATAGATTAATTGTACTGTAATAATGAGAGGCAGCCTCGGTTCAAGGGGACACCTAAAGCCGTGCTAAATGGGGGCATTACTCTACCAAGAAGGGGTCAAGGAGATACTTGGAGAACAAAGAAAACTGAGGGCTTTAACCAAAGATCAACTTACTCTGTTTTAGGGCATTCCCGGGGAAGATGGCTACCGGGGTTATCCTGGTGACGAGGGCGGACCCGTAAGTACAAAATGTCTTGTTCTTTGAGCTTTTATTGCCTCCGTGTTCCTCACACGTCAGGGTTGAATTGTGGTGTTCATAATCTGTTCCATTTCCAATGAGTTTCCTCCTGGGAAAACATCAGTCTCTAACCTCCGTAACAACTCCGCTCGGATTCCTACACTATGGAGAGCAGTGTGACGACCTGAATGCGTCAGATGTGGACACGAAATGGTCTTTACTGGTCCCATTTCAGAGGGAGAGACTTAATGGCCTCTGCGACGGGGGGCCACCGGATGTGGCAGACCCAAGGTCTAGCAGACCCAGACATCCGAGCAGAGATGGGAGTGAGCTGGAGCCAGGGGCCGGGGAAAGCCAACCAGGGTGGTCGTTGGGGTCACGCCCTTTAAGGGAGGTTTGCTGCCTTGGGACCCTCCGAGGGCCCGGTTGGGGGTTTGTGAAGCAGTTCCTGGGACAGAGGTGGCCCGAGAGGCTTGGAGACCCTGGGAGGAAGCCTAGCCTGAGATGGGATACAGGGCCCGCGGGGAGTAGGCGAAGCCACAGGGTCCCAGCGGCAGTGCTGGGCGTCAGGCCGGCCCCAGGACCCATCCGAGAGCCGGGAACAAGCGACTGCGCTGAGGAGCCATCAGGCCGGGGATTCTCCGTGGGGGCCCGACACCCACCACACCCAGTACCCAGTGACGTGCTCACCCTGGTACCCGGGGGAACTGCGGGTTCAGGCCAGGCCCAGGGCTGGGGGTGCAGGAGGGCCTGAGGTGTACCCGCCAGGGAAATCTGCTTTTTGGGGCACAGCCTGCGGGCGACGCACACTCCGCAGGCACGGCGGGGGGAGCTCCACCTTGTACGTGCCTTTGTTTCTCCCGCAGGGCGAGCGGGGTCCTCCTGGCGTGAACGGCACTCAAGGTTTCCAGGGCTGCCCCGGGCAGAGAGGAATAAAGGTACAGCGTGCTGGCCCCTGAGTGAGTGTGGGGCCCCGCGGGCAGAGTGTCTCGGGCACAAGCAGAAGCGACACAGTGTCCCCCAATGCCTCCTTGGGGAGGAAGACCCCCGGGGGATTTTGGGTCATCATGTTCAGCTGCCTCGTGGTGAGAGGGCGCTGTCTGGCGGGGTCATGTCCAGGCGGGGTCGGGGCCCCGGCTGCTCTGGGATGGGAGCCCGAGAACGGAGGATGAGTTTCCTCCGGGGTGTAGAGCAGCCAGGAAGGAGTCACCAGGACAGAGAACACGGGCCAGGGCGGGGGGAGGGCCAGGGGCAGGCGTCTCCAGCCCCCAGGGCCCGGAGAGGAACCAGGGTCATGTCCAGGCGGGGTGGAAGGAAGCAAGAGAGTGGCATGTGCTAGAAGGTTCCTTGAGTGAAATATTTGGATGTGCTTGGTCCTCCGTCTGCTGAAGTTTAAAAGCAGGCGCATGTGGCAAAGTCACAGAGGGGCCTTGGAGCCGGGTCCCTGGCCTTCAGCGCTCACCCCTCCTGCCCATTTGGCCAAGACCACCACGTGCTCAGGGCAGGGAAATGAGCCCCAGCACCCCCCATGGGATGGATAGAGGGCAAGGCAGGCAGATGAATCCCTGGCACTGAATTTCAGACTCAAGGGCGTTCGGGGGGGGCGGGTGGCCTCCCGTGCCCAACCCCCCCAGCCTGTTTTAGCCTCTTCTCTTCGGCCTCCAGGGAGGAGCTAATGCTTCCCCTTTCCTCCCCCTTCCAGGGCTCTCGTGGATTCCCAGGAGAGAAGGTACCTACGCTGCTTTTCTTTTTTGACGTTTAAAGCATGCCGAATATTTGTCATTTTTCCCTTACCAGACGGCCCTCTCTCCTCACCGGCTGTCTCGTTCCCTCGCAGGGTGAATTAGGAGAAATCGGGCTGGATGGTCTCAACGGCGAAGATGTAAGCGACTTCATACTCTGTGTCCCAACCCGTGTCCGGTCCTGAATGTCCCTGTGACTCGTGCCTCAGTCCACGGTGCGAGCTGTGGCCGGAGTGACGCTTTCTCATTGTCTTTGGCAGGGAGACAAAGGACTGCCCGGGTCTCCTGGAGAGAAAGGGAATCCCGGAAGAAGGGTGAGTGTGTTTGCAGAGTGCTGTCATGACGGAACAACTGAAAACATTTCATTTGAGAAAACTTTTTTTTTTTAATCTTGTATGCAAGGACTACTTCCTCCAGGCAGCCTTCCCTGATGTCCTCTGGGAGCGCATCCTTGGTGTCTCCTATGTCCTCTGTCAGTTGTGACAATGACATCGTATCTTTTTATCTGAGGAGTACATCTGATAGGGCAGGGGCGGACCCTGTTCTGTTTACATAAATCCCCACTGCCCGGTACAGAACAGGCCCTAGTAAAGATTTGGGATTACCTGAACGACTCGGAAATATTTGGAAGGAATTTTGCCTCCGTGCAAACGAGTAAATGGGAAACGCGCTTCCGTGTAAGACCTATGAACTGAAGAATGTGATTTTTAAGGGGGAGATGCCAGTGTGAAACCTTATCTCCTTTCTGTCTCTGCTTGCATGTTTTATTTAGGGTGACAAGGGACCCAAAGGGGACAAAGGGGAGAGGGGAGACGTTGGAATTCGAGGTGACCCGGTAAGCGAGCTTCCTCGTGGACAGTTTGAGACCCACGTCTGGGGAAGAGGGTCATTGGGAAGGGGGCTGAGAGGAAGAATTTTTAACCAGAATTCTGAGATCGCTGTAGAACGTGTTGATGACGTACTTGGTTGTCCAGTTTTGGAGACGGGTCTGCTCTCCGGCTGCAGAGATAGTGTGTGCAAAGCTCGTCATAGGCCTCGGGACTTTCCCTAGAAGGTGGCCTCAGGGCACTTGAATCCAGCGGGACTGGGTGCTCAGGAAGGTGTCAGAGGCGGCAAAAATGTAGGACCCTGAGGGGTACCCCTCGGCCACGTCCCACGTAGCCCACCCATCTCACCCTGCAGCCCGATCGTGGGTCCCCTGGGCAGTGGGCAGCGGTCCTTCCTCACCAGGGAGAACAGGGCCTCATGGTCCCTCTTGCCTTGTTCTGGCCTGGAGGAGGGAGGCTGGCCCGGGAGGGGGGAGGCTGGCCCGGGAGTGGGGAGGCTGACCTGGGAGGGGGGAGGCTGTCCTGGGAGGAGGGAGGCTGGCCCAGGAGGAGGGAGGCTGTCCCGGGAGGAGGGGAGGCTGTCCCGGGAGGAGGGGAGGCTGGCCCGGGAGGAGGGAGGCTGGCCCGGGAGGGGGGAGGCTGTCCCGGGAGGAGGGAGGCTGTCCCGGGAGGAGGGGAGGCTGGCCCGAGAGGTATTTGGCTCATAGGTTTTGCAAAGCCACAGATGGAGAAGGTGGCAAACTCTTCTCTTTGCCTGAAGGGAATTTCAAGCGCCTTTTGCTTGCACATGTGGCTCACGTCCCTGACCCGTGTTGTCTACAGGGTGACTCAGGACGGGACAGTCAGCAGAGAGGACCCAAAGGAGAAACCGGGGACATCGGCCCCATGGTACTGTGCTCTGCATCCCCGGGCCCCCTTTGCCGAGGGCTCACCCCCAGCCACAGCGGCCACGGAAGTGGTCCTCACGGCTGTGGGCACACGAGGTCGGGAGCGGACTGTGTGCCCGAGAAGGCAGCCTCCAGCTGCTACCCAGAGGGGCTTCTTTGCTGCAGGATTTGTGCCCCTTAGATACTCATGGATTGTGCTTCTCCGGCCAGAGGCTGGTGCAGACGGCATGACCCACGTCCGAGGGTCCCCCACCCCTTCCCGTGGTCTCGGGCACAATATGCCAGAGTTGGACGGGAGTCTTACGCTGATTTTTCCTCCACGCCAGGGTCTCCCCGGGAGAGACGGGGTGTCTGGAAGGCCTGGAGACGCCGGGAAGGATGTGAGTACCTCTTAGGGCTCGGGGGGCCTTGTGGGGGGGCTAGCAAGAGCCTCCTAAACCACCCACCCAATCTGGGGCAGCGCTACTCAGCCACTTTAAGGGGGTTTCTGAGGCTGTCCTCACCCATCTCGCTGCTTCGACGAGCGTTTCATTCTTAAGTTTGCTCTGTGCTCCATCGTCTCCTGCGCCCAGTTCTGCCTCCTTCCGGTCCAAAAAAGACCGCATCCAACAGAAGGTTTTAAAAGGAATGTCTTTGCCACTTTCGAACACTTGGCTAGGTTTTATCCCGCTAAATATTTTTAAAGTCCAAACAGAGGCGCGAACACGGGGGGAGTGAGGGAGCAAGGGGCAGGAAGGCTGATGGGTTGAGTACTTGTGGGTTAGTCATTGTTTGTTTGTGTGGCTGTGATTCAAGCAACGAAACCAGATTCTGTTTCCTACCGAATTGCATCTTGCGGTTGGTTGCCTTTTCTTTCTTTTTAAATTTAATTTAATTTACTTAAAAAAAAAGTTTTTGCATTTATTTATTTTTGAGAGACAGAGACAGATTACAAGTGGGGGAGGGGAGAGAGAGAGGGAGACACAGAATCCAAAGCAGGTTCCAGGCTCTGAGCTGTCAGCACAGAGCCCGACGCGGGGCTCAAACTCACGAACCATGAGATCATGACCTGAGCTGAAGTCAGACGCTTAACTGACTGAGCCACCCAGGGGCCCTAGTTTCTTACTTTTTCAAGACATTTCGCGAATGCCTGCTGCACGAGAGCCCCTTGTGTGCCTAATCTCTGGAGCCCCTCGAAGAGCTGCTAAAACCGAAGCTCTGCACACGATCCTTGGGAAACTCTTGGGAACTCCCAGGCCCCGGGGGACACAGGGCGCAGCTCCGGAAGCGGCAGAGGGTCCCTGCACGGGGGAGGAGTGGCCTGGAAGTTTGCAAATGGTCAGAGGCAGTGAGGGTGGCTCTGTTCACAAGCTGACAGCACAGCGGCGGCAACTGGGTCCGTGCAGCCACGAATGGTACCTCCGGCCTTTCCCTGTCGCCAGCCGTGCCGTGAGGGCTCCATCAGTGCCTGGACCCTAGGGGCTGCGCCCTGAGATGAGGACTTTTGGAAGGAATGCCTCTCACCCGTGATTCAGTGGTAGGCTAAGGGGCGTAATTTTTAAAATCGTGCCTTTAGAATTCAGAAGAAAACAAAATTTGAAAATGCCGTCTTAGAAATTCTGAGCTTCCTATTTGAATCCTGCTGGTGGGCTGTGTACTGACCAAGCAATGATGAGGTACTCAGTGGTTACAGTGTGCCGTCTGCTGAGTGTGTGAGAGGAGCCAAAACTTCTTTTCGTGACATGACTTAAAATAGAGTCCTGCATACAATTTGTTTCAAGACTTCGGTTTACACTTGATGGAGTCAAGGGCTCTTGTAGGGTGAGGCCTGGCCGGGGCCGCCCTTCCTTCCCTTAGGACTTCGCTGTGCCTGGCTCATGCCAAGGCGACACGTGTCCTCCCTGCTGGGCTACCTCATGCCTCACACACCACATGGAGACTTCTGCAGGCTGCCTCTGGCCTCAGCGCTGCCTCATTGAGCACTGGTAGCCTAGATGTCCCCTTTGGGGGAGGCCAGCCAGATTGTCACTCTGAAGGAGTGGCCTGGCCGGTCTCCTTCTCCTCCGCCTGTCCATGTGTCATCGGTAGAATGAAGCCAAGGTCTTCCATTAAAGAAGCTTCCACCACAGCGAATAATGTTAAAGCAGTCACCCCAGAAAGTCTCCACTGGGCATGGAGAATGTCTCTTTGGTTGATGCCGCAGATGGGCCAAGCCCCGTAACAGAGCTGGCGCCTTACAGTGTCCAGAAACCAACCCTTAACCTCACAAAGATACAGCCGGCGCCTTCCTGCATCCCGTCCCAAACCTTTCCAATGGAGACGAAGCAATCACAGAGTCGGAATGAAAGCGTTGCTTACGCAGTGGGCCCGCGGTTATTTGAACGAAGGGTCACCTCTGGTACATGGAGGAAGATGTTGCCAAGTCATGAGCCCGGACTAAGTACAGCTGGGCTTTGAGGTTCACGCATGTGCACTCCTGATCCTTTACTTAGCTGAGTGGGTGTTCTATTTGGCCAGGAGCGTTTGGAGAGCTTGCGACTCCCTTCCGTTATAATTGACCTATTTCATTACTTCTCCCTGCAGTTAAGAAAATGGTTGAAAAACAGAAAGGTTGACATTACCGTTTTTACATACTTTTTTTTTTTTTTTGACATTGGCTGGGATTGTGCAGCCAGAGGAGTCATTATTTTGCTTGGCAGGTTTGCAGTAACTCTGAAAACTTGCATTTGGGTGGTTAGCAGGGCAGCGTGGAAGCAAACCTGGCGGGGAGGAGGGCAGGAGGAAGCGTGTCTTCCGTGTGCGCGTGCTCAGGGCCAGCCACGGTGTCCGGCTCGCGGAGGCTCAAGACGCAGAAAGCCGCGGGCTCCGTCCCCCAGGCGCCCTCTCAGTGTGTGTGACTTCCCCACAGGGCGGCTTTGGCCGAAGGGGACCAGCGGGAGCTAAGGTAAGCGTCTAATTTGGCACCTGTCTCCTTCCATCACCCGTGACTCACTGTGCGCTCTCAAAGGGCAAGAATGCAATCAGCCCGGGAGCCAAAAGCTTTGTCCCTCTGCCGTCAAGGCGTGGGGCTCAACCAGCAGCCAGCACCTTCTCTACCAACTCCGTGAATGTAGCCTCTTCTAAGCGGCTTGTGAAACTGCTCGGCCATGGGGACGAGGGACAGAAATGGAGGAGAGAGATGGAGGAGGTGGGGTCTGGGGGTCCCGCATCCTGACGCGCCCCCCCATCTGGTCGTAGGCCAGTCTCAGCATCTTACTGTGCCCATCTGCTCACCTGTGCAAGGCAGGTTTGGATTAACAAATCCTGATTTCAGAACCATCCTGAGCAGAGGTGAGGCGGGAGTGGGGGGCCATCATAGGCGTGCAGAGTGATACTAGCTATACGTGTTGAATATCTCATCCTGGGGCTGCTGCATTGGTGGCCTCCACCCCACTGTGGGGCCACTCCCCTCCCCCCATGCCCAGAGGCGACTGTGGACTAGAGAGCTGGCACTGCAACCACCCTAACCCACCCCCTTCATCTTCTTTTGTTTCCAAGGGCAACAAGGGCGGCCCGGGCCAGCCGGGCTCTGTGGGAGAGCAGGGCACCCGCGGTGCACAGGTCAGTACCCCCATGCGGCTGCGTGCCTTGTGCTGTTTTCCCAGGTGCTCTAGTATGTGCTTTTTAAATTGTTTTATTTATCTATTTTTAAATGTTTATTTGTTTTGAGAGAGACAGACAGTGCAAGCAGGGGAGGGGTGGAGAGAGAGAGAGAGAGAGAGGGAGAGACAGAATCCCAGGCAGACTCCACAGAGCCTGTCGGCACCGAGCCTGACGCAGGGCTTGAACTCCCGAACCGTGAGATCGTGACCTGAGCTGAAATCAAGAGGCAGGTGTTCAACCGACTGAGCCTCCCAGGAGCCCCCACCTTTGTTTGAAATTTAAATGAAGCGACAATTGATTTTATAAAATTGAACTCAGAATTAACCACTGAGCAATTCAGGGGCATATAGTACGTTCATGGTGTGGTACAACCATTGGATCTACATAGGCTGAAAACATGTTCATATCCCCATAGGAGCCCCCGAGCCATTGGGCTGTCATTCCCATGTCCTCTCCCCCAGTTCCTGGAAACCACTAATTTCCTTTCTGCCTCTATGGATTGTCTATTCTGGACACTTCATAGAAATGGAATCATTTAATGTTTGTCCTTTTGTGTCTGCCTTCCTTTCCCACGTATCATGTGCTTGAGGCTCACCCAGGCTGCAGCAGGTATCAGGGCTTCATTCTTTCTTCTGTGGCTGCAGAATGTTCCGCTGTGTGGACAGACCAGAGTTTGTGTCCCCCGTCATCAGCTGGGGGACACATGGCTCTTCCCACCTTTTGGAACTTACGAATAGTGCTGCTGTGGGCACGTATGCAAGATTTTGTTTGAACTCTTCTTCCTTTTGTTTTTTATAAAGTTTATTTATTTCTTTTGAGAGAGAGAGAGAGAAACAGTGCAAGTGGGGGAGGGGCAGAGAGCGAAGGAAGGGAGAGAATCCCAAGCAGGCTCTGCATTGAGAGTGCAGAGCCTGATGTGGGGCTCGAACTCACGAATCCTGAGATCATGACCTGAGTTAAAATCAAGAGTCGGACGCTTAGCCGACAGAGCCACCAGGGCTTCTTGTATTTCTTTCAACTAACGTCCGCATTTGTGTCCTGGGCTGGAGCCACCCTTCACGGCTGAGACGGAAGAGTGGTCTCAAGGGGTCGTTTTGGCCGGCAGAAGCGAGGCTCTGGGCTCTGTGCAAAGTGCGTGTGTCACCCTGATGTTCCTCATGGGATGGCCCCGACGCAGCACTCACACTGGCCTCTTGCTTCTTCAGGGTCCCCCTGGTCCCACGGGTCCTCCAGGCCTGATTGGTGAACAAGGCATTTCTGGGCCGCGGGTAAGTGTGCTTGATCCTACCCCGTCTTTAGCTGAGCAGAGAGCACAGGGCCCACACGGACTGAGGTCCTGCGGAGGGTGTTACTGTAGACGGGCTTCTCCCTTCGCCTCCAACCTGCCAACACAGACCCCGGGTCAGCCTCAGTCCTCAAGGCGACTGGCCAGTTTGCCTGGGGAAGTAAGGGACCCTTTTTCTTGGTTCTCCAGGGGCTTCTGAATCCCGGGGCTGCTCCTTCCAAACACTGGCCAGCTGGGTGGTGAGCTTAGGGAGGCCATCCTGCATCTCCAAAGCCCGAGGCTGGAGCTTTGTAAACTCTTAACTAGATCTGCCCAGATTCTTGGCTTATGACAGATTGTTTCATATGTGGCCCGCAGAGGTTGCCTTGTGGTTCGGTATTTGGTGTAAGGCATTCCTTACCCTCCAATTCAACATAGATGCTGCTCCTCAAACTTGAACGACCACAGGCATGAACATGCATCTCAGCTCTTGGTGACAATGAGAAGCAATGAGTTAGAGCCGGGTGGGGACTGGTCCCCAGCACTGCACACTCTGGCATCCGTCCCGTCTGATATGCCATTCAGGGAGCCAGGCTGTCATGTGTTACGGAAAACAGTAGTGACCAAAAACTGGCAAAGAGCTGGCCTGTTGCTACAGAAATGGACAAAAAGGTGTTGCCACCAAGCCGGAACTTCATGAGGGCTCTTGTTGGCTTAGACAGTCCTTCCCCGGTTCACCATCTGAAAAATACCTATTTTCAAAGCTTTTGTGGGTTTTATTCAGCTTTATTTAAGCTCTGACTAGTCAAGAGTTTAAGGTGGAGTGGAGGTGAGGTGAAACTCTCCTAATAGTCACCAATGAGAAAGAGCTCCTACCAACTGTCTTTTGCATGTTCATTTGGCTCATTTCTGGGCTCCGGAGGCTACACCCCACTTTAAGAGCTATGTTTCTTCATTATTTATTTACTCCTTCAGGGGAGATGTGTACAGGATTCCGCACCTGTGTAATCAGGTGTCGCTGTGGAGGTGGGAAAAGGGAGAGGAAACAAAGCCCCACAAAATCCGGGTTATTCTCTAGTCAGGGACTTGGGATATGAACTGCAGCACCTGTTGGTTTGCAGACACTGGTGCCGAGCGGTCACACGGATGTGTTGGATTTACACAAGCCATGTCTGTGTGCATTTGGGGCATTTGGGTCTGCAGCACCTCTCGGGGCCCTGGGTGCTGCGGAGTGGGGGGCGGGGGGCGGGGCCTTGGGCTGGCGGGTGGCTATTTCATTGACACGCGCCTCTCCTTCTGCTCCAGGGAAGTGGAGGGACTGTGGGTGTTCCTGGAGAACGTGGCAGAGTCGGTCCCCTGGGAAGAAAGGTTTGTCTTGGCAGAAGTAGAGCTCATTTCCTGAGGTGGCCTCCCCCACATCTGTCCGTGTGCTCACCTGCTCAGCCTGCACTCAGCCCCCCCCTCCCCCCGTTGCCAGCCGGCTTGGCCGGTGGGGTCCATGCCCTGTCCCACCAGAAGGGCACACATGAGCAGGACTCAGCAGGTTGGCCGTCTTGTGGCCAGAACCAGCCAGCAGCTAGTGGGTTCCCTGATCTGTTCGTGCCTCTGTGTGTGACGGGCGGTGTCCAGCGTCCTTGGAGCCATCAGCAGATCGGAGGCACTCAGCACAGCCCCAGTACTGCATCGAACACACATTCTTTAAACATTGGCACCGCACACACAGTGCTCTGCTGGCCATATTTAGCTAATCCTAGAGGCCTGGATCCCCGACTGTTTTGGATAACAGCAGCTTGTCATATGAAGACTGTCTGAGAGCCGACTTTCCATAAGCCTTAAGAAAAAACACAGTTTATCAGAACTGGCCTGAAAGGGCAGCCTTTTCTCAGTACAGGAAATGCGTTCATGTGAATCCACAGCTGTCTCTCTGTCTCTTGGTGATGTTGGGGGGTTTCCCCGCTCAAGTCAACACCCACCCATGTTCCTGGCTGCTTCTGCCCTGTTTCTGTTTCTCCTTTCCCCGTCAGCATGTCCCCAGGCCGTGCAAATGCAGAGAACAAGCACAGAGCTTCCTGGCTTCTTTTCCGGGAGTCCACACACCCGAACATGGCAATTTAGAAAAATCGGTTTTACCAAAATCTGAAAGGTGAAGTTAGCAGCTTTCAGCCACCTTGCCGCCGGCAAGGTGAACAGAAATTGCCTGGAATCATGTTTTATTTATTTATTTTTATAGTTTATTGTCAAGTTGGTTTACATATAACACCCAGTACTCTTCCCAACAAGTGCCCTCCTCCATGCCCATCACTCCCTTTCCCCTCCCCCCCCCCCCACGTTTTAAATTGGTCTTGGACCCACAACGGTCTCGGCCTTGTTTCTCGTGCGTAGGGCGAGCCTGGAGAGCCGGGACCAAAGGGAGGCGTCGGGAGCCAGGGCCCCCGAGGGGAGACGGTAAGATCAGGACATGCCGAGGCTGACCCTTCGCTGAAGGGCCGAGGCGGGGAGTTGGGGCCTTTCTCTGGGCTAGGCTTTCTCGTTGCCAACTGGGTTGGTTCCGAATAGAGGTCATTGATAGTTGCTTCTTGTATCCTTGGGGGTATGACTGAACGCAGTGAGACTGGTTGCTTATAAACAGCAAGTTAATTTCAAAAGAAGTTTCATTACATCAGGGACGAGTGGGGAAAGACATTTCTTTTATGTTTTTCCTGGTAAGTGAATGTGGGGACTCACTGAAGCTTGAACCACCCTCATTATCATCCTTCAAATGGTTTGTGACCATGACTAGATGGAGCTTTTCTGCAGAGAAATAAATATCCTTCGGTTAAAATGGAATCGGATCTGATCAGGTTTCAATCCAGACTGAAACTGTTTCCTTTGGATGAGACACCCTAGGAATAGAAGTTATCACCTTGATAACTCAGTTTTAAAAATATTATCTAAAGACAATCTAAGTGCTCACTAACGATAATTTTGTAAGATACACTTGTGTACAGGGAAGAGAAATCTGCAGCACGTTTTAAGAATGTGTTGAGAACGCGGTTGATCTGATTTATAATCCCAAACTTTAAAATATTTGTGTGTGTGTGTGTAACCTCTCTACAGAAAACTAAAGTTTAAAGGATCCGTTTCTGTTACTTTTAGTTTCAGAAGCAAAGGGGGAAAAAGTCAGACTTTATAATCTATTCAGACCATTGAAGGAAATCTCTTCTTGATTGTGTATCTGTAACTTCTGGGACAATGGCTCTTTAGCTGTTGATGTTTGCTTAAAACTTTAAATTAACTAAATAACATGCTCTGCGTATGTTTTAGAGATACTAATGTATATATTTCACACACATTCTTCTGATTCTTTTGAAATAGTCAATGGAGTGCAGTTCTGGAAGTCTCCAGAGAGAGTGTGATTGGACAGACTGGAGAGAATAGGCAGGGGGTGTTTGGAAAGAAGGCAGCCAGTGGCATGACCTAGGAGGGGGGAAGCCACAGAGGAGAGGGGAGAAGGTCTGAGCACAGGAGGCTCAGGAGGGCGTGAGAGACTGAGTCCCGAGTTCTTGCTTTGTAGTAGAATCAAAGACTCACGGATGTACGTCGGCAAGGCGACCTTCCAGAAGTCCTTTCCACTCTGAGTCTCAGGTTCACTGGTTTTTTTTTTTTTAAAGCTTTTTTTTTTAATATTTTTATTTATTTCTAGGAGAGAGAGAGAGAGAGAGAGACAGCGTGAGCAGGGGAGGGTCAGAGAGACAGGGAGTCACAGACTGAAACAGGCTCCAGGCTCTGAGCTGGCAGTCAGCACAGAGCCCGACGTGGGGCTGGAACCCAAGAACCGCGAGATCATGACCTAAGCGAAAGTCGGATGCTCAACCGACTAAGCCACCCAGGCGCCCTACTGGCTTTTTGATTCCACACCCAAGCACTGTCTTTCCCAGCGGCTGTTGATGTTCTTTTCATTGGTGGCACACCAGCACCATTTTGCAAAGGAGTCCCGTTCAGCTCACTCGGTTACAGACGCCATCTTGTTTACACTTGGAGGATGGGGTGGGAGCGAGAATAGTCCCTTGATCTGGGAACACTTCAGGGACCCAAGGACCCTGTGCTCCGGGCTCTAGACAGAGCGGTTGTGGGGTGTCGGTTGTGGGGTGCCCGGCATGGCGGCCTGCAGTAACGCTCCCTTTCCACCCCCAGGGCGATGACGGCAGAGATGGGATTGGCGGTGAAGGACGCAAAGGCAAAAAAGTGCGTTATCTGCTGAGGATGCTTGAACTTCTGACATCTTGTATCTTGAGCGGATTATTTCTCAAAATTGGATTGTAATACCATGAATTATTTTTGTCTTGGTGACTCCGTGGGTGTATTTTTTTCTGCTCAAGAATAATTTCTTTTAGATGCCTTTGGATTAGGACCCACAACTGAGCTCTTTGTTTATCTCTTACAGGGAGAAAGAGGATTCCCTGGGTACCCAGGTCCAAAGGTAAATAAATATTCCCCTGGTGGTGAAACGTCACGGTTTTGGGGGGCTGCGTCTGGCATGTTCAAGGGCTGAAAATCAGAATATTGTGGTGCTAGTGTTGAGTCAGCCGCTTACTAAGGCCCCGCCCTGTCACCTGTTACGCGGAGGTGACAGTGGACAGTGTGTACTTGTCTCGGGACTTGTGAGGGCCGACTCAAATGACACGGCGACCACACACTTTGTAAACTGCTGTGATCTGTGTGCTGTTGTCATTGTGGGTTCAGTAAGCTGCATCTGCAGAGGACACGGACGCACTTGGGACCCAGAGGAATGTAAATCAGAGTTAGCTGTTTGGCCGCCCTGGGAAGTGTGGTCCAGATGCCCCGGGGACCCTCCGTGACAGCCTCCATTGCAGAGCTCAGTGTGCCTCTTTCTTCGCAGGGCACCCCTGGGGAGCCTGGGACAGGTGGAGCACCGGGACCCAAAGGCATCAGAGGCCGCAGGGTGAGTGCGCCTGCTCCTGGCTGCAGGTGGGGGAGGGGAACGCGGGTGGTGAAAACTCTCCTTCTTCGCCTGCCTCCGGGCCAGCGGGACATGGGGCAGAAGAAAAGGAATCCTGAGCCCCAGACCAGCGTCCTCAGAACGCCCTGTGGTTGACTGCGCTGTGCCCTTCAGCCCAGCTGCCCTCACGGGGAGGCCCCGAGACGCCCTCCCGCTAACACCTCTCAAGGACCACGAGACTCCGTGCTCCCGCCTCCAGGCCATTAGAGTCCTCTTCCTGAAGCTGCTTTTGGCTCCAAATTACTGTCTTCAGTGGATGTTTACTTATCCTCTTAAGATTGCGCTGAGTCCTGAATTAGCAAATTGCAGTCTCGATGTGGGAAACAGTTATTTGTAGCTTAAAATATAGTGAAAATCATGATCATCTGATCCTGCTAATTTGCTCAGTGAGGATAAACTACCTCATTTACTTTTCCAGGTGCTTTTAACACATTGGGCTGGTCATCTGCACTGAGCGGGGGTGGGGGTGGGGTCTAATTAACTGCCATTTATTGATTGCTTGTGTGTCCACGAATAGACTTCTTTTTAAATTTTTATTTAAATATTTTTTAATGTTTATTTTATTTTTGAGAGAGAGAGAGAGAGAGCGAGCGTGGAGGAGGGGCAGAGAGAGGGAGACACAGAATCTGAAGCAGGCTCCAGGCTCTGAGCTGTCCGCATAGAGCCTGACGCAGGGCTCAAACTCATGAACCACGAGATCATGATGTGAGCCAAAGTCAGACACTTAACCAACTGAGCCACCCAGGTGCCCCTCCATCGATAGTCTTAATGGTTCTTGGGCAAGCACCTCACAGAGGAACATTTGTCCCAGTGACAGGGACGAGGAGGGTTGGATTAGATCACCTTCACCATCCCTTCCAACTGAAGGAGTTGTGAGTTTTCCATCTTCTCTCAGAGCTGAGCACTGTTTGTTCTGCCCTTTCTAGGGAAATTCAGGACCTCCAGGGGCAATTGGGCAGAAGGGAGACCCTGGCTACCCAGGACCATCTGTAAGTACCCACCCAATTCCAGCCCAGCCATGGGCTGGATGCTTTACATGTGCCCCTTTGTAAACTTCCTACGGCCTCCTTCCCTCACAGAAAAGGCATGTTGTGTTTTGGTTGTCATTGCCTTTTTTTTTTTTTTTTTTAAATAAACCACTTTTCTTTGATGCCACAATGGAGAAAAGAGCTTTTGAATTTTAGAGTAATGAGAAACGTTCCAAAGAAGTTTCTTGTGGAACCTTGTGGTTTAGGGTATATTGTAATTTGCCTTGATAATTTCCTGGTGTAGGTTTGAGGTTTGTGTACAGGACAAAAAAAAAAAAAAAAAAAAGGGACAAGTTTTAATACCTCTTGGTTGCATCTTGTTGAAGTAGTGTAAGTGTAATTTATGTCAGACGTTGGTTTGTGGACTATTTCCTGTGGTCTCTAAAATCCCCAAGAGAGCTTCTGATTTGTGGTTTAAAACCCACGAGTGCTGGGCCACCTGGGGCCAGGAGGGTGACCTTTCACAGCTTTTCCGTTGTATCTATTCATTGCGAACATCTTTGTCTTCTTAATTGAATTTCTCCCTATATCATCTCCCTGCGTTAAATTTCATGAGGTTCAAAGGATGATGGATGATCACTCCTAAGAGGAAAAGTTGAGGGATTAGACGGGTCAAACTTGGGTAAAGGCTAAGTCAGCTGATTGCTGCCTTTAAGAAAGTGAAGCATTTCATGGGAGAAAGTTAAGGGAGTCAGTTGTCTTGTAGATAGACACCTGACTGGCCCAGGAGACAACTGTGTGGCCATCATGGTGGCCGCATATTGGGATGAGACCCTGAGGGCAGCTGAAGGCTGGTCCTTGGACCTCCTCTGGGGTGGCATCCAGCCAGTGTTCTTTAGATCTGGAGCTGAGGCTTAGCTAAGTGACCCGTCACTGTCCCTTCTGTGAACAGGAGGCACTAAGATCGCAAGCGGAAAGAAAGCTCTTCTCTTGGAAGTCATGCTTAGACGCAAGCCCAGATGTATGATTCCTTCGATTTGTCACAACCTTCCAGCTCTCCAGGGCGGAGAATGTTTCATTTTGCAGGGGAAACGCTTTTGTTCTCAGAGTTTCCTCTCTCTTTTGTTCCTTGAGCAGTAAAGTCACATTTATAGGGAGAGCCTGAAAATGGTCAAGGGCAGCCAAGACCCACCTTTGCTTCCCCACCCACGTTTCCATCGCGTTGCTGGGCCTGTGCGTCCGCGGCTCTTCTCACCCTCTCCTTCTTGTTCCACAGGGTCCCAAAGGCAACAGAGGTGACTCCGTGGATGTAAGTTGCATGTGTGCATCACCAGTCATTGAGTTGTAAGCCTCTTGTCCACCCCCCCTCACACTTCTTTCCTTTCCTTTTAAAGCAATGTGCCCTTGTCCAGAGCATCAAAGACAAATGTCGTAAGTACTGATCTTCTGCTGTCAGTGATGCATGTCTGCTCTGACGTTTGAAATTTTCATGCAGTACCCGTGTTTCACTACTCTCTCTGTTTCTTTTGTAGCTTGCTGCTACGGTAAGTTGATTTCAGCCGTTTGACTTTCTCCTGCAGAAAGAAGACCCCTTTCCCGGTAAGTAAAGTTGGTTCTTGAAAACCCACCACTTCCCACAGGGCCCCTGGAATGCCCCGTCTTCCCGACGGAACTGGCCTTTGCCTTAGACACCTCGGAGGGGGTCACCCAAGACACGTTCAGCCGGATGAGGGACGTGCTCCTGAGGATTGTGGGCGACCTGACCATTGCTGAGAGCAACTGCCCGAGGGGGGCACGCGTGGCCGTGGTCACCTACAACAACGAGGTGACCACGGAGATCCGGTTCGCCGACTCCAAGAAGAAGTCGGTCCTCCTGGACAAGATCAAGAACCTTCAGGTGGCTCTGACGTCCAAGCAGCAGAGTCTGGAAACGGCCATGTCCTTCGTGGCCAGAAACACGTTTAAGCGCGTGAGGAACGGATTCCTGATGAGGAAAGTGGCCGTTTTCTTCAGCAATAAGCCCACCAGGGCGTCCCCGCAGCTCAGGGAGGCTGTGCTAAAGCTTTCGGATGCGGGGATCACACCCTTGTTCCTCACCAGCCAGGAGGACCGGCAGCTCATCAAAGCGTTGCAGGTCTGTGCCCCACGGGCATTGGTGACACCCCCCTCCGCCCCCTTGGGCTCTGAGAATGTTCTCGGGCACCTGGCACCGCCTTGATGGATTCCTGCCCCATAGTTTCCAAAAGCTCCGGGATGAGGCTGTTGGGATTGGCAGTCCCTCTAGTGCTGTTTCCAGGACAGCCGAGTGGCTCTGGCTCTAGAATGACATCCAGATGCCTGTGACTTATTCCCACTGGGTCCTTCCTCACATGCTGGAGGCGAATCTCCCCTGAGGCCTGCGGTGTCCTCGTGAGGTCCCCCAGACATCAGCGCATCCCTGTTCAAACTTTCCTCAGCCACGATGGCAAGGGTCAGCCTTCGCTGTGAAGGCACAAAGCATTCCCTTGTCATTTGCTTCAATAGCTTGTTGAATTGCTATAATAATATATATAATATTTGGCTAATTAATCGCTTAATGTTTACTCCATTCCGATGCCAGCGGCATTGCTCAGGACGAGTGGGCGATGGGCATAATGGAAAAGAGCCCTTGGGGCAGCCTGCCCCCTTCCTAGCTTCAGGTCGTCGAAGTAACATGGTCACGTCACTCAACCTCTCTGTGTCTTAGATTTCTCGCCTGTGAAGGGCAAAGTGGGGGAGGGGTGGTCTCTACCATCTTCCCTCCAAGACTGGGTATTCTGTGGTTTTACTCCTGCCCACGTCAGCGAAAGACAGTCTGGTAATTGGTACCGTCTCTCAGGGCTTATTCCGCCAAACCACGGGCCAGTGTGAGCAAAAGCGCAAGGCCTGGGAATCCAGCTTGGCCTTCCAGCTCTCTGCCCTCATAAGGGGCTCATTTATGTACATTTTCCCTCGTGTGGGCCGAGAGGCCCAGAACCACATGTGTGTCTCAACAGCAGTGTTCCAGCAAGTTCGCAAAGTCAATTATTCAGTCATTAGTTACATTTAATTTTTCACTAAATGATTACTTAGTGATGGATTCTAAGGCACCGTGATGAGCAGGGCTTTTTGAGTCTTCTAGAAGGGACTTCACTACTTGCTTTATGGTTAAATCCCTTTCTCGGAGAGTTTGGGGCTAATGTTTGTCAGTTGCTCTTATTGTTGCTGAGAATAACTGGGCTATTTAAGGGCCCACGACCCCCTAGAGGCTGTGCCAGCCACTTCACGTGTACCATCTAATTGGACATGGGGAGTTTACCAGCACCTCGTTTTGCAGCTCAGGAGACTACCTCAGAGAGGTTAAATAATTTTCCTTCGGGCCCTGCAGAAAGTGCAGGGGAGGGATTTGAAGGTCAGCTCAGCTCCGCAGAAGAAAACCGGTATTTTCCTATTAAGCTCAGCACCTCCTCCCAAACCCGCCAACACAACCCCCCAGAAGAGAGTGATCGGCTGAGAAGCTTATTTTACTGATGTGACTCTATTCCGCTGCTGTATTTTCAAATAGTTACTTATCATAGTCACTCCTACCAAGCGTTTCCTTTCGTTTAAACCAGATCAATAACACGGCAGTGGGACACGTGCTTGTCCTGCCCCCTAGGAGAGACCTCACCGACTTCTTGAAGAACGTCCTGACGTGTCACGTTTGCCTGGGTAAGGTGCTCCTCCAACAGGACCATCTGTGACACAATGTACCATGCTCTCCACCGGGTGACGTTTGAACGAATGTTCGCCATCCCTATAAAGGGCTTGGGTTAAAAGAAGATCCTTAACGCCTCACGTTTACCAGTGTAATTCCCACTTAAGTAGTTTCCACATTTAAAGTGGAAGCCCCCAAACAGAGCTTCTCTTTGATAAAGAGGAAATAAAGGAGAAAGTAGGCTCTGTTTACATTTTGACCTTGGAGTCCAGATTTTGATGATTTGGCTTTGTGACTTTTTAGACACACTTCTTCAAAGAGTGGCAAAGAAGTAGTTTTCTTCCCTTCCCTCCCCTCCCCTTCTCTCCCCTCCCCTCCCTTCCCCTCTACCCCTCTATTTCCCTTCCCCGTCCCCTTCCCTCCCCCCCTCCCCCTTCCCTCTTCCCTTCCCATTCTTTTGTCTTCCTTCCCTTCCCCCATCTCCCAGTCCTTCTTTCCCTTCTCCTTTCCCCTTCCTGTCCTTCTCCCTCCCCCTCCCCCCTCCACCCTTTTCTCCCTTCCCCCTTTCCCTCTCCCTCTAGCATCTCCTCCCTCTCCTTCCCCCTCCTCTCCCTCCTTCTTCTGAGGCCAATGCCATAGTATCAGAATAAGGATTTTAGCTTACTGAACTGTTTCATTTAGTGTTAGGTGATAAAAACTGAAATCTGGCCACAGAAAGGCAGCAAGCTATAAATAGGCTTCTATATTATGTGATGATTTAGTTACCCCAGACTCCCAACAGATCGACGCACAGAATTGCAGCGGGAGTCACAGGATAAATGGGCTGCTCTGCTTCTTTCTTTCTAGACATCTGCAACATTGACCCGTCCTGTGGCTTCGGCAGCTGGAGGCCTGCCTTCAGGGACAGGAGAGCGGCGGGCAGCGACGTGGACATCGACATGGCTTTCATCTTAGATAGCTCCGAGTCCACCAGCCTGTTCCAGTTCAATGAGATGAGGAAGTACATAGGGTACCTGGTCAGACAGCTGGACCTGAGCCCAGACCCCAAGGCCTCCCAGCACTTTGCCAGGGTGGCTGTCGTGCAGCACGCGCCCTATGAGTCCGTAGGGAACGCCAGCGCGCCCCCTGTGAAGGTGGAGTTCTCCCTGACGGACTACGGCTCCAAGGAGAAGCTGGTAGACTTTCTCAGCAGCAGAATGACCCAGCTGCAGGGGACGAGGGACTTGGGCCGCGCCATCGAATACACCATAGAGAACGTCTTTGAGAGCGCACCCAACCCACGGGACATGAAGATCGTGGTTCTGATGCTCACGGGTGAGGTGGGCAAGCAGCAGCTGGAAGAGGCCCAGAGCGTCATCTTGCAGGCCAAGTGCAAGGGTTACTTCTTCGTGATTCTGGGCATCGGCAGGAAGGTGAATGTCAAGGAGGTGTACAACTTCGCCAGTGAGCCCAGCGACGTCTTCTTCAAACTATTGGATAAGTCGACTGAGCTCAACGAGGAGCCGCTGATGCGCTTTGGGAGGTTGTTACCATCCTTCGTCGGCAGTAAGTCCTGCAGGGGACAGTGCGGGCCTGGGTCAGGGCCTTCTGCCAGCCCATACCCTCAGGCTAGCGGGGCCTGGGGCTGTGGGCATGGAATAGACGTCTAGTGTGCTGATGTCGACTTGTTTATTCATTCAGCACATATACATACACCTACTGTGTCCCAGACATACTTCAGGAGCCACAGTTGACAGTGAACATCCTGTCCTTGGTGACTCATATATTCAACCAAATTTGACTGGACACCTCCCAGCCATAGACCCCATGTCCCTGCACATATACAGTGGATCAAGTGCATATTTGTGATGCACGACAAAATAATGGGGAAGCTCCTAGAAGGAGTTGCATTGATCTGGGCTTAGCGGCTAGCCCCATACTTGGAAACTTGTGGGCCTTTGCTGATGTGACCCTCCTCCCTGGGACTTCTCCGCCTCTGGCTTAGTGACAAATCATCCTCAAAGCCTATCTCTATTTGCCCCTACTAACCGTGAATGCCCACCAACTCCCAGGCTTTCTCATCGTTCTCTGGATGCTACTTTCCGTATCTGTCCCACGGCCTCCTGGTTATTCATGCGTGTGGTTTGTGGTCCCAGTGGACTGCATGGTCCCTGAGGGGGTGCACGGCCCCAGGTCAGCACAGGAGAGTGTCTCCCAAATGAGGGAGCTCTAGAAAGCAGAAACGAACACGCATGTGCAGAGAGTTTATTATTCGAGGGAAAGGTGAGCTCCATGAAAACAGCGTTCCCTCTTGTGAAGGCCTGTCCCTCCAGAGTCTTAGAGAAAAAACACGAAGCAAAGCTAGGCCGGAAAGTTCTCCCTGGGAACATTGCCACTGCCTTCCAAAGATTAAAAATAAAAGTTTTATTAAACACAGCATTGAGAAAACATTGCAGGTAATTCGATTACAATGCGATGTTCAAGAGCTTGGAACTTGTTAAACTCTGCACTTGGTTTTTCTTCTATTCCTGTCTCCCCCTCGCCCTGAGTACATCTTTCCTTCAACCTAACTAATCACCCGACTATTGCCAAACAGAAGCTTTGGGCCTGGGATGTTTTAGGGACCAAGGACCAGCACGCTTACTGTTTAAATTGATTGGGCTTAGCTTGTCTGGGGGAATGAATTCATTCAACAAATATTTATGGACTACATACTAGGTGCTCCGTTGAACCCATTAGCAGATTAGTTTTAATTTCCATGTGATCTGCAGGCACTTGCAAGATCTACTTTTTCCTCTCTTTCTCTCCAGGTGAAAATGCTTTTTACTTGTCCCCGGACATCAGGAAACAGTGTGATTGGTTCCAAGGCGACCAGCTGACAAAGAATCTTGTCAAGTTTGGTCACAAGCAGTTGTAAGTATCATCACGATGATCTCAAAAACTACAGCGCTCGAGAGAGTGCAGAGACCCTCTGGACCGTGTTTGACCTCCTGACGGGGACAGTGAAATCCAGAGACTGTGACTTCCCAAGGGGCACGAGGAGCATGCGTTGCAGACAGTCTGTTGTATCCCTTTGCTTTTGCTGCATAGCAGATGTCCTGGAACTTAGTGGCTTAACACAACTGTTTATTTCATGTGCGTTTCTGGGGGTCAGCAGTTTCTGCTTGCGCTCAGCTGGCCTCACTCACATGCTGGCTGGCGGTCTCGTCTGCCATGAATGGTGGTGAGGACGGTCCTGGCCAGTCGGCTCCCCCCGGCTCCCCACGGCCTCTCGTTCTCCAGGACACGGTGTTGGGAGTTTGCCCCCAGGTGGATGGGAAGGGTCCGTGAGAGGAGGCAGAGGCCGCGGCTGGAGCCGGCGCGGGTTGCTTCTGCCGTATTCTTTTGGCCAAGGCACGTCCAGTGTGCCAGCCAGTCTAGATTCAACAGCAGGGGGACTAGACTCCACGGGGGGCCCGGTCACATCACGCCATGAAGGGCACGGGAACAGAGGGTGGGAAGTCGGGACCGTGTGTTTAAACGGTCTGCGGCACCTGGTGTGAGATGATCTCACACGGAAGGACTGAGTACATTAAGCAAAAAAATGGGCTCCGAGTGTTAACGTGATTAGTGCTATGATAACACGGGTGATGGTGGTGACACCTGAAGGGGAGGTGCCTGTTCTACCCGGAAGGCTGACGGGCAGGCGGACGGGGCTCGTGCCCGCGGGGATGCTGGCTCAGCTCCACCTGCGGTGCCGACTCCAGGAGCGGAGAGGAGGGCCCTGTGGCTGTGGGACAGAGGGCGAGGTGACGGGGGCTTGGTGGCAGGAGCTGAGCCCGGCCGACGTGCCGGCGTGTTGTGCCACTGAAGGCTGTGCCACAGACTGTCACGCTTGGTGGGGGAGCAGAGGTCCCGCCTGTAGCACCCGGAGGAGATGTGGACCTGAATTATGCTCGAAAAACGAGCATGTGGCTGCCTCCCAGCTGACCTGCAGGCTGAGGCGGAGAACCTGCCTCCCTCTCCCATCCCTTCAGTGCTTCGGCTCTTGCCCGTGCCCGGAGAGAGGTGCTGAAAGTCACCGCTAAGGGAGCTGGGGCCCTTTCTGGTGGCATCATGTGTGTCCGTCCAGGTTCAGAGGCTCTCTCTCCCTCGCCTTAATTATCTTTGTGATTTCTCTCGGACATTCTTTTTTTTTTTTTTTTTTAACTTTTAATGTTTTATTTATTTTTGAGAGAGAGATAGAGACAGCATGAGCAGGGGAGAGGCAGAGAGAGAGGGAGACACAGAATCCGAAGACAGCTTCCAGGCTCTGAGCTGTCAGCACAGAGCCCGATGCGGGGCTCAAACCCACGAACCGTGAGTTCATGACCTGAGCCAAAGTCGGACGCTTAACCGACTGAGCCACCCAGGCGCCCCTCTCTCGGACATTCTTAACGTGATCCTTCGGAAGACAGAATGGGCAGTATAACCTAGTCTTTGAAGTGTTATGACATCAGCTGAAAACTTACTGCCTGTGACATAGTGTGACAACTCTAGAAATTCACGAGTGTCCTCTCAGGGCCGCAAGTGGACAAAGGGTGGATCTGTGCCGCCGTGTCTCTTTATGTTGCTGGTCCTTCTAGGGATTCGTAAGAGATCAAGACATTGTGGAAAAACAACCACACACCCCAAAATTAGTGCAAACAAACATACACAACGAGGTGTGAGAGTGAAAGTATACACTGACTTTATAAATTTGAGCTCGACACAGCATTTTGTTGAGTGGATACTTTTTTTTTTTAATGTTTTATTTATTTCTGAGAGAGAGAGAGAGAGAGAGAAAGAGAGAGACAGCATGTGCAGGGGAGGGTCAGAGAGAGAGGGAGACATGGAATCTGAAGCAGCTCCAGGCTCTGAGGTGTCAGCCCAGAGCCCAATGCGGGGCTCGAACCCAAGAACCGCGAGATCATGACCTGAGCCGGAGTCGGACGCCCAACCGAATGAGCCGCCCAGGTGTCCCAAGTGGAAGCTTTCTTATCATGAGAGTAGCTATTAACCATTTAAAAAAAAATTCTTGGTGTATATGTTTCAGTTGGCCAATTTTTATATTTTGGACATTTTCAAGTATAATTATTCTTGTCAATGATAATAATAATTAAAATATTTATTATTGTCTCTTTACTTTCTCCTGCTCTTATTTTATAAACTAGAAATAAGCTGACCGATGTATATAGTACAATATAGGCTTCAGTTTTAAAAAAAACATTTTGAGAGGGAGAGAGCGAGCAGGGTGAGAAAAGGCAGAGAGAGAGAGAGAGAGAGAGAGAGAGGAAGACAAAGCATCCCAAGCAGGCTCCACTCTGTCAGCCCAGGGCCTAGCTCGGGGCTTGAACTTACACACTGTGACATCATGACCTGAGCCGAAAACAAGAGTCAGATGCTTAAGTGACTGAGCCACCCAGGCGCCCCTGGAGGCTTCATTTTTAATGATTTTATTACTTTATATGCTTTTCAGTATCTTTTCTGTGGCACGATTCTAAAAGGAAAGAATTTAATATAAGCAATACTGATGTGCGATCATCAGTGCTGCTGGGTGCATTTTGATAAAGCAGCAAATTTTGCATAGCTCATGGGACTGCTTTTGGAAATTTTAGATAGCAGGCAAAAATACCCAGGGCTTAAAGAATATTTAAGGGGCACCTGGGTGGCTCAGTTGGTTAAGCATCGACTTCGGCTCAGGTCATGATCTCTCCATTCAGGAGTTGGAGCCCCGTGTCAGGCTCTGTGCTGACGGCTCGGAGCCTGGAGCCTGCTTCCTGCTTCTGATTCTGTCTCCCTCTCTCTGCCCCTCCCCTGCTCATGTGCTGTCTCTCTCTCTAAAAAGATAAATAAACGTTAAAAAAATTTAATTTGTCTTAACAGAAATATTCCGAATAACGTGACTTCAAGTCCTACATCCAAACTAGTGACCATGACGAAGCCGGTAACCACCACGACGAAGCCGGTAACCACCACGACGAAGCCGGTGACCACCACAACAAAGCCGGTCACCGTGGTAAACCTGCCGGCCTCCAAGCCAGTCGCAGCAAAGCCAGCCGCACCCAAACCGGCAGCTGTGAGACCGGTGGCTGCAAGACCCGTGGCCACCAAGCCTGAGGTCACCAAGACCGAGGCCACCAAAACGGCCACGGTCAGACCTGCAGTGGCTGCGAAGCCGGTGGCTGCGAAGCCAGTGGCTGCGAAGCCAGTGGCTGCGAAGCCAGCCGCGGTCAGACCCCCTGTCGTGACCAAACCGGTGGCTGCCAAGCCCGAGGCTGCCAAGCCCCAGGCGGCCAGACCGGCTACCAGCAAGCCAGACGCTGCGAAGCCCATGGGTAAGAAAGCACCGTTAGGGCCGCCCACCTGTCACACCCTTACTGCTGGTGCTCAGGGCATGTCCTCTGAAGCCTGTTTATAAGGCTGTTGAAATGCTGTCATTGATCTGGGATTTGTACCTCTAGATAATGCAATTTAGGAGGTGCTGGTCAGAGCATGCAATTGTCAAAACGTTGCTTTTCTTTTCTGTTAGAAAGCCGTCTCTCTCTTCCCTCTGTGAGGCTGGCGAGCCCCTCACAAGGAGCAGGTGAAATGAGTCTCCTACCCTCTGCTGCCTCCATCCCCCACTGCCCACCCCAAGCCCCGAATCCCATCTTGGGTTTTCTGGCAGAAGGAGGCCCCAAGGTGCACGCGGTGGCTATACTGGAGTGTTGAGTTTCATAAATTGGCAAGTCAGAGCCCGGACAATCAGCCTTCCCCCCACCCCCCTTCCCACGAATACTGTCCGTGGGGAAGGCACCTTCCAGATGGAATGAGATACGAGGGTGGGTGGGCTTACTGAGACCCAGAATTTGTTGTTTTATTTTTCACTCTGATCCTGGAAGATACTAGAGAGTCACAAACCATATAGAAAGGTGAAGGCAGAATGTATGTCTGTAAAAAGGGGGAAATTGTCTTCATTTGATGGACAGAGAGAAAGCAAGCAGGGATTCCTTTAAAAGAATTTCCTGTCATGCCCTGAAGTTTCGTGACTTAAAACATTTTAACTTATGGGGCTCATTCTGTTTTCAGTGCTTCATTTCAGATTAGTGCACTGGACTGTATGTTTTCCTTTTTTTTTTTTTAATATTTATTTTTGAGAGAGAGAGAGAGACAGAGTGAGAGCAGGGGAGGAACAGACAGACAGAGAGAGAGAGAGAGAGAGAGAGAGATGGAATCCGAAGCAGCTCCATGCTCCAAGCTGTCAGCACAGAGCCCAATGCAGGGCTCGAACCCACGAACTGCGAGATGGTGACCTGAGCCAAAGTCAGCCGCTTGACCTACTGAGCCACCCAGGCGCTCCTGGACTGTGTGTTTGCAAAGTTTCTCCTTAATGAGAGATTATCAACAGGAAAGACATAGTGATGTCTCGTTGAGATTATGAATTCCACGTTTTATGTAGGTTGCTGGCTCACGAGACTAACAGTTCTCAGGAGCCCAAACGAGAAATTAGCTCCCTGCTCACCCCAAGGTCATCGCTTCGGTCGTTCTGTTGCCTGTGCGCTACAGTCTCGCGGGATGGTGAGTTTTATCTCCACACTCTGCTTCCATCTGTCCTACAGTTAAGGCGTTCCGGGAGGTCCAGGTGTCGGAGATCACGGAGAATAGCGCCAGACTCCACTGGGAGAGGCCCGAGCCCCCCAGTTCTTACTTCTATGACCTCACTGTCACCTCGGCCCACGATCAGTCCCTGGTGCTGAGGCAGAACCTGTCGGTCACGGAGCGTGCCATCGGGGGCCTGCTCGCCGGGCACACATACCACGTGGCGGTGCTTTGCTACTTGAAGTCTCAGGTCAGAGCTGCCTACCAAGGAAGTTTCACTACAAGTGAGTACGTGGGCCTCCCTGAGCACTCGGTACCTGATTTCCACACAGAATGTCAAACAGGACATAGAGGGGTTGGTGCTTGTCCGTTGGATCTGAACTGATGAGCTTAGCCTGGGTGTTTTGGTTATGCCCCGTTTCGTAGATGAGCTCCATGGAAGGTGGGATTCCTTGTGAACTGTTGCCCTCTGTGGGGGTCCTGAAGGGCCACATCCATTTGTGAAGGAGGCCAGATCCATTTGGCCTACGTGAAGCCTCCTCCACATCCGTGGAACCTGACCGGGGGCTCGACTGCCCACCATGACCGTGTGTCTAAAGTTCGTTTCCATGTTCAGTGAACAGAAACCCCCCACCCCCCAGAGTCACTGGCTTTTCACAGAGGACCCGAGGGGACCATGCGCCTTACCGCCCCAAGACCAGGGGACACACACGGCCACCCACAAAGGGCATCACATGCTGCCCGGTGCACCAGGCAGTGGCTCTGCCCTCATTGTCTCTTGTCGCCTTGGCCCTTCCGTGGCCCTGGGGGACCTGCCCGTGCGGGTGTTTCCTCTCTCTGTTAGCTACCATCCCCCCATCCCCCTGGCCTTTGACGTTCTTGCGGATCTCCCCCCACCCCCATTCTGTCTGGGCCAGTGCAATTGAGATCAAGGAGTTCTCCCCAAAGAAAGGGAACTCCTATCCGTCACCACATAATCCGTGAAGATGTGAGTGTAAAACCTCTTCCGCACCGGGGCTCCATTTTCGTGGATGAAAGCAGAAGAGGCTCTATAGGAAATGGGGGGATTTACTCAAAGTTCAGATTCCCTCCTTTTGCTCCATGAGAGGAGTGGCCTCAGGAGTGTTTGTAGAGACTCGGCGGGCTCCACGTGTCGTTGGCTCGCCCTCGCGTGAGACGGTAACCCGGAGAGGCAGTTTCTGTGTGTCCTGCCAGTCGCATGTGTTTTTCTTTTCTAGAAAAAGCTCAGTCCCCGTCTCCACCACAAGCAAGGTCAGCTTCTAGTTCAACCATCAATCTAATGGTGAGCACGGAGCCACTGGCTGGTGGTGAAGCAGGTGAGTTGTGAAGTAGTAAGTCCGTTAACAGCACTAAGAAAGCATTCTACCAGACATTAAAAAAATTTTTTTATGTTTATTTATTTTGAGAGAGAGAGCATGTGCATGAGGCAGGGAAGGGCAGAGAGAGGAAGAGAATCCCAAGCAGGCTCCACACTATCAGTGCAGAGCCAGACTTGGGGCTTGATCCCATGAACCATGAGATATGACCTGAGCCAAAAGCAAGAGTCAGATGCTTAACCAACTGAGCCACCCAGGCACCCCTCTTCCAGACATTTTAAAGCCTTTGAAGCCTGGGCTCTAGGTCATCCACTGGGATTCTAATTCTCAGGCAAGTCTGGCTTCTCTGGAAAATTCCACATGGGTTCTTTGTGGCCCAGTGTAGTCTGATTCTGCAGAGTCTGAGTTGTAAATGGTGACCTTCTTTTCCTGTCACCAGACTCTTAAAGAAGGCCAGATGGTTTGGGGCTGTAGTCGGGAATTCAAGTGTCTGTTGATCAGATTTCCCTGAGCCTCCTGTTGGGGCTAGAGTTGATTTATGGTTCATGAAGCCAGAAGCGTAGGGATTTGTCCACTCAGTGACTTAATCTAATAACGACTGCCTAAAAGAACACAAAACAACCCAACTAGTAGAACCTGTGAAATGCAGGGGTTTGGAAGTGACCCATGAGAGGGACGTTCTGGTCCTAATTCCCTAAGCACACACCCTGGCTTAGCCTGTCATCCCACCGATCGTGGGTCTGAGCCTGAGTGTGTGTGCACTTCTCTGGGTGATGAGTTCAACCTGTTCCTAGAACTGACAGGCAACACTTGCTTTTGCTCCTGGGTAGTGGGAGTCCTGATTCCTTGAGACCTTTGCCCTTGTCCTGTGGACCACGAGCCAAAACTCTTCTCCAATGATAACCGATTATTGATACAGTTGATATGGTTTGCTTCGAAGTGTTCTTCAAAAGACGTTGGCCGTCGTATCCAAAGTCAAAATTCTATGGGCATTTCCCTACGGTATTGTTTTATAGACCCCACTTGCTGTGGGGACAAGTCCTTCTTTGATGTGTGGGCCGCCGTCCAGAGAAAGAAGGCATTCCTCTTTGCAGTGTTTATGTCTGCAGCGGACTCTGATAGAAGGCATTTGCTGAGGCACATGGTCTTTGTCCTGGGTTTCAAAGCTGTGTGCTTTCTCAATACTCACAGCTTTGTCAGAGTCGGTGGCACATTGCTTTCTGAGCTCTTAGTAAGGATTCTTTTTTTGTTTTTGTTTTTTGTTTTTTGTTTTGAGAGAGAGAGAGAGAGAGAGAGAGAGAGAGAGAAAGAGTGCATGAGCTGGGGAGAGGGGCAGAGGAACAGGGAGAGAATCTTAAGTAGGAACAAACTGAGGACTGATGGCGGTGGGGGGGAGGGGAAGTGGGGAGATGGGCATGGAGGAGGGCACTTGTGGGCATGAGCACTGGGTGTTATATAGAAACCGATTTGACAATAAACTATTAAAAAAATAAAAATAAAAAGTACAAAAAAAAGTAGGCTCCATGCCCAGAGCGGGGGCCGATACGGGGCTCGATCTTGTGAACCGTGAACTGTGAGATCATGACATCAAGGGCTGGACGCTCAATGGATAGAGCCACCAAGGCACCCTGAGGATTCCTCATTTTACTCTTTCTCTACAAGTTTTGAAAATGATCCCTGATTCTCCATCTTAATCTCTCTGTAGAGACTGCATTCTGTCCCATCTGTGTACAAATAAAATTGGATGATTTCTAACTCCACACACTCACCTTTGGTGGCCACTTGGGAGGAGAGCCTTTTGGATTCTTTTAGTTGTTTCTGGAGAGAATCTTCTCTATCGCTAGAATATTTTATTCCATCAGCAGACTTTCCCTGTGGCCGTCTATCTGTGCATACCTATGTCAATGATCTATATCTGTATCCGTATCTATATCTGTATCTATGCTGTATCTTTATGTCTATATCCATCTATCTCTCTTTCTGTCATCCATTCATACAGTCACATCTCCTACTGACAGGTGGCATCAGGAGTTACTAGAAAGAAAGTCAGTCAGTGCAGGTGTTGTGGGACTATTATACACATAGATGTGTATGGAAGAGCCTTTGTCCCCTGCACTAGGGGACCTTCAGCTCCTCTCTCTCTTCTGCTCCCTTCCTGGGTCACTTCCGTGGTGACTTGGTCCCCAACATGGTGCTCGAGCTCAGAGAGAAGCCGCAAAGAACTCACAAAGAACTCGCCCAAAGATTTGGGTCAGGAAAGATGAAATTCTAACTTCAAAGTCCTTGAAATCTGCCTATTACTTCCCCCTCACTTTACCTCTCATACAGAGTAGGGATTGTAAAATTCCTACAAATTCGGTGCTTCATTGAGAGAAAATGACTGAGAGTAAATTCCATGGTGAGTCTTGGGGATGTTTTTGGTTCTTTTTTTGTGTGGTCCAGAAGGGACGGGAATATCTAAACAGTATTTAGTTGATATAAACAACACAGTCATTAAACATGAATCGCACTGGGCTGTGGTGTTTGTTGTTTAAGACTGAGTCATGGGTTCAGAGTTAGGAAAGTCCTTTTAATCCAGACCTTTAACACGTAGGTCTCTCACCATGTGGCAGAGAAAAAGGATTTTGGTGGCGCTTATGAGTCTTTCAAGGCTGCAGGTAGTTAGATACAGATGCTTCTAATCTTTCTCCTTCATTGGGATTACAGTGTAAACTCAAGTCCTAGGACTCAGATCTTTCACCCTTCCCTGTGTGAACCCCAGCTAGTGATTCGAGTCCGTGTGAAGATAGAACTTGCTTCTCTTAAGAACAAGACCCTGCATAGTTGATCACTCCCCCCGCCCCACAGTAACAAAGCAGCACTTTGCTGGAGGTGGCATTTAATACATATTTGTTCAATGAACATGTATAAGTGCACACACGCACACACATGCCCACATGCACACGCGGGTGCACCAATTTTGAGAGCTCTTTTTGAAGGAAATCAATTAGATACTTTAAAATGTTTAAAGCTCCAGATAGGAAAACAGAATCAGGAGACGAAAGCTTCCCCCTCTCCCAACCTCCTCCCTCCCCTGTCACCTGCCATGACTTAATTAGTCATCTTAGGAATTTTCCCTAAGGGAGTAAAACATTTTTATGATATTCTTATTTTTGCAGGTAGAAAAAGAGTAACAACAAATCACTTTATTAAGTAACTTGAAAAAAATTGTTAGTGCTTATTCATTTTTGAGAGAGAGAGAAAGACAGAGCATGAGTGGGGAAGGGACAGAGAGAGAGGGAGACACAGACTGGGAAGCAGCTCCAGGCTCTGAGCTGTCAGCACAGAGCACGATGCGGGGCTCAATCCCACAAACTGTGAGATCATATCTGAGCTGAAGTTGGACGCTTAACTGACTGAGCGACCCAGGAGCCCCTTTATTAAGTAAGTTTTAAAAATACACTCCCTGTATTCTTACTCAGTACTTGCATCCAAATATCAGCTAGCATACAATGCATTCTCTCTCCAAAGATGTATTTTTGAGACAGTGGAGGCAAAATTAAATTTAAAAACTACTTTTTATATGTAGTTGTGAGTACAGTTTAATTTCTCTTATTTTTTGCAGTATCAGTTAATTAGAAGCACGGTTTGTATTTACAAAGATGTGTCCCTTTCTTGGCATTAAATGTTAGATACTTTCCCCTGACTTTTTGTTTTTACTTCTATGAATAGAAAGATTCACTGGGGTCTGATACTACCTTAAGGAACTGTATTTCGTTAGAGCTTAGCATTTTGGACATAGAACACATGATGAACAGTGTTGGAACTCATGAACTGTGAGATCATGACCTGAGTTGCAGTCAAGAGTTGGACACTTAACTGACTGAGCCACCCAGGCACCCCAAAGCTGATAACTTTTAAATGCTACTCATAGACACTAAAGAAACCTCAAACCATAAAAAAGGCAAGATTTTCCAGTTGAACACTTTATCTGTTTCAAAGGGTAATATCTCTTTCTAATGATAAAATCATAGATATTCATTGTGGAGAATCCAGAACTTACCAAAAAAAAAAACCTAAGAAACTATGACTCCCATAGTTGAAGCATTGATGACCACTGTTAATGACCCCAGGCATAGCCTTTTAATTTTTTAAATGGATATAACATGTGGGCATGTGCACACACACGTGCCCACGTCTTTGTTGCCAAAGCGGACCATGTTTCTTAGGACACCTTCCACCCTGTGGTCGCTGCTCTCAGACTCCCAGGTGTGTTCCCATGGCTTCTGTGAACAGGTGGGATTCCCTGGCAGGGTTTTCCAGATGCATTTGCCTCGGTTTCTTCTTATATTCAGATGCTCACTGATGCCCGGTGATCAGTTCATATTTCACTGGAAAGTATCTCCGGAGAGTGATCTGAATCCACAGCCCCTCAGGTCAATATTTTAAGATGAAACTTATTTACGTTGTTATTCCAAGCAAAAGTGAATCAGGGAAGGTTCTTGAAAATGTTGCTCCCTCTTGTCCTTTAGGCTCCTGTTGGGTTCTCAATATAAGGAGGAGAAAATCAGTGTGTGCAGCCTGACCCTCTTCTCACATCAGAGGGGACTCCGGGCTCCCTCCTGGCTTGTGCCCCAAGGGGCACACTTATTTTGGAGTGAAAACCTGGACAACTGTTGTGTCCAAACACTTGTTCTGGGTAAAAGCTTGATGAGGTCCATCCAACCACCCCTCTTTGGACAACAAGACATTTTTAGTTTTGTGTCCATAAAATGGTTGTTTTAGCACAGACACAGCAGAGTCCAGTCTACGTGGTGTATCTCAGAAATCAGGATGACGGGAATGAAAACTACAGGGCTTCTTAGGACAAAACATTTCACTTCCATGCTTTAAGCATGAAGAATCCCAAGTGTTTGCCTTTCAACAGCGCGAGTCCCTCGTTCATGTATTTCTCTTGGTCTACCAAATATCTGTGTGCCCGTGATGCCAGCTCCCCTCTGTCATGTTGGGAAAGCTACAGGGTCTTAGCGGCGCTGGTCACTGACATAAAGGATGGGGAATTGCAGGAGCGATAGTTTGGTGATGGACAGTTAAGGTGAAAATCATAGGAGGCCGGGGAAGCCAATCAGTCAGGGAGCAGAGGGTCCTTCCGCAGGGCAGCCGCCGGGCTGCGTGGCTCTGAGTCCGGGAAGGCTTCCCGTGTTTGCTTTGAAGGGGCATGGGGGAGCGGGAACAGAGGAGCTAAACACAGGTGGGGCCAGGACTGAGGGCGTGTGGAATAAATAAGATGGAACAGACGTGAGCCATGTGGGGGATGCTCGGGAGAAGGAGAGGGGACGAGTCAACCGTTTGGCCCGAGCCTCACACGAAACGGGGAACCCACTGGCAAACGACCATAAGTTTTGGTGGCCAAAATCCTCTTGCTTTGCTCAGTTCTCTGCGGGACATTTCTTTAAAGCCAGGCATTTGTCTTCGGTTGTAGGCACATTTGGGAGGAAGAAAATCATTTTCGTAAATTGTCATCATTTTATTCTGGCTTCATTGGGTCTTCCACGGCTCTTGGTAGAACCGCTGGCTTTCTGGGCCTTTGAGAGGGTCTGCAATTAGGAGGTAACTCTGGAGCCACCAGCCTGTGCCCGGGAGATGGCCTCCCCCATGTCACCAGGGAATGTTGTAGGCTCATTCTGAGCCTAAATCCTGTGTGCCTCTGAGTCTGGTCCATTATGGCTGACCCAAGCTTTGGTTCCTTACCTGAAGATTTATGTTTCTCTTTCACTTCCTGGTGCAATCAGAACCTCCGCCGCGCAGCTGTGAGCAACCCACGCGGGTGGGGACCCAGCCCTGCGTGGGGGGGGCGCGGTGACTCAGGCATGTTGGCTCCTCCCAGAAACACGTAGCATTGTGCACTCTGGGGAATTTTGTTGAAGGAAGGATTACATTTTTCAAACTTACAGAAAATGGTTGACATTAATGCTTCTCTTTCCCAGCATGACCTGGAGTTTGCCAGAGAACTCTGTAAACAGACATTTTACTCTGAAAGGGCTGTAAACTTCTCTTTCCAGGCGCTGTGGAGCGGCTCTGACTTAGCTCTTAACTTTGCAGCTGGGCCACATCAGAAGTATGCATGTAAAACATAAACTTCCTTAACTGGACAAAGAATGCTTCTGTGTCTTCAAAATAGCTTCGTGATGTGACATTTTTGCCATCGTGAATTTTACATCAGCGGTAGCACTTCTCTTTGCTTGTTTAATTTGGCTGCTTTCGGAGGCCGTCAGCTACACACACACACACACACACACGCATGTGCATGGGCACACATGCACACATACTCACAAAGGATGTTTCTTTTACACGTTGACTTTTATTTTCCCTCTGCTTGCCTTGTAGTGAAACATACAGCCTTATGTTTGAACTAGATTTTGACGGAACTTATTTGCCATGTGGCCGAGGAGTAGAACGTGCCATAGTTTTAAGACTTAGTTTCTTAGCTGGGGCTCTAGTATTGAAGGAATTGGAGGGTAAATGGCCCCGTGTTTGGAAAAGGGGAAACAGTTCATTCATTTGAAATTATCCAATAACGAAGGCTTGCATTTGGAATCTGAGTGAAGTTGGCGAGGTCCTTTCATCGAGGCAACTGCAGTATTGCTGTTGGTGAGATTCACGTCCATCCGACAGCCAGGAGGGGGAGGCGTGGCGAGGGTAGCAGGGTTTCGCTCCTCAAAGCTCTCCTGTTTGCCTTACCAGCCTTGTGATAAGACCTTCAGCCCCTCGCGCTGGGAGCAGAGTCCTTAGCGTGTCCTAATTGATGCTCTGTTCTCATCCCGTTATTAAAGACATATGTAAGTTACCCAAAGAAGAAGGAACTTGCAGGAAATTCATACTGAAATGGTACTACGACGCGGATACCAAAAGCTGTGGGAGATTCTGGTATGGAGGCTGCGGTGGCAATGAGAACAGATTTAATTCACAAAAAGAATGTGAAAAAGTTTGCGCTCCCGGTAAGTGATTGGTTATTCTTTTGTGTTTGTGGCTTTTGCAAAGCTGACAAGAGATCGAGGTGGATGATTCGCCTTTTTTACGATATTTGAATTTACAATGAGTAGGGTAGATTGGACAAAGGGGGTAAGTTGTATCTTTAGATATGGAAGATATTCAATTAAACACATGCAATTAATTTTCTAAATGATTATCATTTCCTAAAAACATCCTTGTATACTTGGGTTTTTGCCCATGAAGAGACACTAGGCCAAACTATTCTTCCCTCTTCATCTTTAAATAATTGCTTCATCTTCATACTGATGTTGACACTGGGGCCACCCAGTATCTCCGTTACATTGGGCAACTTGACTGCTATACGGACAGCTTCCCCGAGAGTCTGCAGGTGCCAGAACGGGAGACTGCAGGGTGCACGAGGGGCTGGCCACTGGGCACTCGGTGCACACACAGACCCAGACCAGGGAGTGCCAGGAGAGCTGTTTAGGGCACTGAGCAGGAAAGGAAGATTGGGGAGGAAAACCAGAGGCCGTGGGATCGTTTTTGTGAGAAATGTGGTGTCCTTTTCAGTCAATGATGTGGCTTTCCCCCCTCCTTTTCTCTCCCACCCTCACCGGCCCGCCCTCTCCATCAATGCTCAGCGCTCGTCAACCCCAGCGTCATGGCTGCCATGGGGACCTAAGCGTAGCCGATGGTTACCACATACCTCTTGAAGAAGGAGTCAGCCATTTCCAAGTCGTCTCTGTAGAAGCTCTGGGTATAGACATCTTTGCACTGTTCCGTTTCTTGCTTTGACGTACCTTTGAACTCGGAACGAACCGTTCTGCCGCATGACCTATCGATATGGTGCTAAATGTGTCTGTGGACCCAACGCTCTCTGTCTCCAGGCAGTTATATCGTATACTTTGAATGTTGTTGTAATAGTTATCCACCGCTGGTGTTTACGTGGACGTTTCTGTAAACTCAGATGCTCTCTGGAGTTTCACGCTTTGCCTGTGTTGGGCAAGTGTACGATCTAGAACCTAACTCCAAATTTCACTGCTACTCTGTATACTTCTGCTTGGTTCATTTCTTCCCTCTTCGTTAAGCACGACTTTAGATGGAAAGCCTGTGTACGGTGAATAAACAAGATTCCAACTTTTGACTCTCTTCCCCAATTTCCTAGATTAGATTTCAAGCTAATTTTCTTCTCCTAAAGCCTCTAACAACCAACCTAGTTAGAAGGAAGCAAAATTACCTTAATCTGGGTGCACTGTTGTGGGACCAATGCCTTCATTAAAGAATGAAGAAAGTCATCATAGAGAATATTTTTGGCATTCCTCTAATGTTGTGTGGGTTTTTTTTTTTATGCAAGGGGGGGTGGGGAGGGTGTTTAATTTTAATTTTTAAAGATTTTAGGAAATTTATACAAAGAAACTTTTTAATAAAGTATATTGAAAGTGTCGTGGGCTTGATGTTATTGGCTGGGTGGTTTCGGTAGCACCTACGGTCACAGTGACCCCGGGCGGGGGTAATGGGGCCCAGCCAGGCCCTTGGTCCTGGGCACCACCTCATGTTTTCAGTGGATGAGCATGACTGCTCTATCACCAAGCGTGGGGCCATGGGGGGCTCAGCCCGCTGACACTGTGGTGCTCTGGGACCTGGTAGATCACCTTCCCTGCTTAGGACCCCTTTCTGGAATCTGAGATCTTCCCGGCCAGACTGGCCTTTATCCTCTGCTCTAACTTCTGGTGAGACCCAGAGCCATGGCCTCCTTTCCTGGCTCCTCTCTCTCTTTCTCTCTTTTTTAAAAAAATTTAAGTTTATTTATATATTTATTTTTGGGCGAAAGACAGAGAGAGTAAACGGGAGGGGCAGAGAGAGAGGCAGAGAGAATCCCAAGCAGGCTCCACACTGTCAGGACAGAGCCCCATGTGGGGCTCAAACTCACAAACTGTGAGATCATAACCTGAGCTGAAACCCAGAGTTGGACATTTAACTGACTGAGGCCCCCCAGGGACCCCCGGATTCCTCTTTAAAGTGACTTTCTGGGGGTTCAGGTTACTCACACCCCACAGTGGCTGGGGGATGAGACACAGTTGGTCAGGACAACTCATTTCTGGTCTCAAAGACAAAGCATAGAATCTTTTTTTTTTCCCCCTTAAAGACCTTTTTCTCCCATCTTCAGAAAGAACATAAGACACAAATAAACACGTATTTTGGTGGCACCTGAAGCCGACTTAGGAGAGAAACTGAATGCGTTTGCCAGAACACATCTGCTCTGACAAGTGCACCTGACAGACGGCAGGGGCCATGGGCGCGGGCGGAGCTGCTTTACGGGAGGTCAGGGATGCCCCTGTCGGTATATCCACGGGGAGGGACGGGAGGTCAGAGAGTGTGCAGACCTCCCTGCGAGCCACCCCCTGTGACTTCCACCCGGATCTTTGGGTGACATTTTTAAATTCTCTAAAAGCGCTCAGAGTGGCCCCATCTGCCCCGAATCTGGTGGAAGACCCGAGATGTGTGCCCGTATCATGGTGGTGGACACGAAGCAGAAGGAAGGGGCGGGCAGAGGAGACCTCGGTTGGGAATTTTCAGGAGTTTGAGGGAGGACTCCAGACTTCCTGGACACTGGGGATGTGAGTTTACGTGCCTTTTTTGGGACTGAGAGAGCCTGGATGGACACCAGGGTGGCTTCAAGGGAGCCTAGAAGCTTTGGGGAGCCCTCAGACACTCTCACAGTCAGGGCGGCCCCCAGGCACCTCTGCTCACATCCCTGCAGAAGCCCCGTGGGCTCCTCTCCCCGTGTGAGCCACACAGCACGCCCACCTTCCCTCCCATGGGCCCTCTCCGCCCTCCAGGTCATGCTGACCCCTCCTCACCTTTAAGGACCCTTTTTAGGATACGGCCATCCCAGGGCGCCTACAACCCCAGGGAGCTCAGGGATGGTCATAAAGTCCCTTCAAGTGGATATTCAACCTGGGTGGGAAATGCGCATTCTGTGACCTTCTCCGAAACAGCTGCCCCCAGAGTCCCCCAGCCTTAGAGGAAGAGCCCCCCTTCCATATAAATAGGTCCGTGTGCTTCCCCTCAGGCTGCAGGGTTTCAAGTCAAGTTTGTACCATTGGAGCAAAGAAATGTTTGCAGTGGGGCCAGGGAAAGGGAGCATCGTTAGTGCAGCGGATGAAACATAAGCCATGAAATGCTCTGTAATCTTTTGCGGGGCGGGGGGGTGGGGAGGGGGGCGGTAACCGGGCAGCTGAAACAACAGAGATTTATTCTCTCACAGCCCTGGAGCCTGGATGTCCAAAATCAAGGAGTTGGCAGGGCCACGCTCCCCCTGAGATCTGTAGGAAATCCTTTCTTGCTTCTTCCTACTTTCTGGTGACCTCTTGGCTTGCAGCTACATCGCTCTGGTCTCTGCCTCTGTCTGCACACGGCTGTCGTCTCCTAAGGACACTGGTCATGTGGGATGAGGGGCCCATCCTACTACGGTATGACTCACCTTAACTTATTATGGCTGCAGTGACCCTATTTCCAAATATCTTGAGGTACTGGGGGGTTAGGACTCCTGACATAGCTTTTTTGGGGGAAGGGAGGAGAGTGTACGACTCAGCCCATAACACAGTGTTAGCCTTTCCTACACTTGTTCCCAGCCTGCTTGATGTCTTGCTCCAGGGTCTAGCAGTGAGAGCCAGCGAAGGCTTTCCACTGAATCCTATCACTTTCTTAAAAAAAAAATTTTTTTTTTAATGTTTATTTATTTTTGAGAGACAGACAGTGTATGAGCTGGGGAGGAGCAGAGAGAGAGGGAAACACAGAATCTGAAGCAGCTCCAGGCTCTGAGCTGTCAGCACAGAGACCGACGCGAGGCTCGAACTCACAAACCGAATAGTGAGATCATGACCTGAGGTGAAGTCAGATGCTTAACCACCTGAACCACCCAGGCGCCCCTGAATCCTATCCTTTCTAGTCACTTTCGGTTATGGGAACCATCACTACTGGATCGGAAGCCTGGGTCCCCTTCTTTTTAAAACCTCAAGAGTATGAGCAGAGGAAGGGTGAGAGAGAGAGAGGGAGACACAGAATACAAAGCAGGCTCCAGGCTCTGAGCTGTCAGCACAGAGCCCGACACGGGGCTCGTACCCACGAGCCATGAGATCATGGCCTGAGCCGAAGTCAGAGGTTTAACCAACTGAGCCACCCAGGCGCCCTGGGAGTTAAAGATACTCTTACAGCCTTTCTCTGCGAACCCCAGCGCAGGCTGGCCTCACAGCCCTGCGTGGAGTCAAGGTGGAGAAGTCCGTGGCTTGTTCCTCTTTGTGGCCAGGCCTGTGGGGCTCCACGCTGCAGCCCTAGCCTGCCCCAGCCTCCCCCTGCAGCAGGGTCCCCAGGCTCCAGGCACATATTGGTTCCCTGGAGGAAACTGGGGGCCTCCCTTGGGCAGTGTGGCTTCCTGCCACCCTAGGAAGTGAGTCCCTTCCCTTCCCCGTGGGAGGTGAAAGAAGCAAGCACTGCTTTGCCTTCTAAAGGCCACCATGACCTTGTCCCATGGTCCTCTTCCATCTCAGCAGTGACTCGGGGCAGTGTGCTCTGCGCTGGGCCCTTGGTGATCAACTCTGAGCATGATCTACCAGGGAGGCAACCCCCCTCTTGTAGGGACACACTGAGCAGGGAGCTCTGGGCCCTGGGTCCCTTCACGATGGGCTGAACATTGCACTTCCCCCCACCCTTGGCCTTAGGGGCATCTAGAAGGAAGCCTTGCACCCAAGACACCCTAAAAGCACATGTGATCTGGCCCCACCACATGTTACTGACAAGTGGGCATTTTAATAAAGACACTTTGAGGAGTCTGGAGAGAAGTTTCTCACACATTCCTTGGTTTACTTCACACAAATGCCTTTAAACAAGTTGCCTCTGCACCAGAGGTCCTCACCTCCAGCGGCTGCCTCAAGTCTCCCCCTCCTCTTCCCTCACCCAGCTGCTTATAACCCTCCGTGCCCGCAGCAGTGCTGGCTGCCCCTTGGCGTGGGCACTTCAGCTGGGAAAGCAAAACTCCAGGTGATGGGGAATGTGCTTCTTGCGGTCTTCCCAGGACATCTATTCACCCCATCACCTTTTAAAAAATCAACTTTATGGGGCTCCTGGATGGCTCAGTCAGTTCAGTGTCCAACTTCAGCTCAGGTCATGATCTCAAGGTTCATGAGTTCACGTCCTGCATCCGGCTCTGTGCTGACAGCTCAGAGCCTGAAGCCTGCTTCGGATTCTGTGTCTCCCTCCCTCTATGTTCCTCCCCTGCTTGTACTCTGTCTCTTTCTATATATATAAAATAAAGATTTAAAAATTTGAAAAAAAAACAACTTTGCATACAGTAAAATGCATCCATTCATGCGTATTATTTGATGAGTTTTGACAGATGTTCCCACGGTACCCTCCCCACACTCACAATGTGTGACATTTCCACGTGTGCGACTTCACTCCCAGTAAATTTCCAAGGGGAAATTTATCCCAAGGAAGCAATCAGATGCACAAAGCTTTTTGCCCAAGGTGATTCCATGCAGCATTATTTGCGATGCCAAAAAATGAATTAGAGGTCATCAAAACAGGCAACAAGAGGGAGACGCTGAAATTCAGTTTGCTTTGCCAACAACAAAGGAAAAGTAGCCATTAAATAGGTCATAACGTTGGTAGTTGGCCCAGGCCATTAATCAGTTGGGGTTTATGATAGAATGTTAAAAAATGGTACAAATCTGTACATTTATTACAGTAAGAGCACACACACATGCACACACATGTACACATGCACACACACAAATGTATGTTTATTCTAATAAAGGGAAAATATATTAAAAGCAAATGCAACATAATGTTCCTGGCCGGCTGCAGCACCGTCCCTTCCCTCACAGCCAGGCCTTCATCTTCTGGTTGTTTCTCACCCCCATCTTAATTACAAAATAGAGCTGAGTGGTCATCAATGGGCTCAGCCACCCCAGATTTTCCATTTTAGCACAAAGATCTCCTTTCATGGGATTCTGTTTTGTTTAACAGAGACATTGTATGTGCCGCCGGGGGCTCATGTTCTCGTGGCGGGAGACGGGCAAGCGTGGGAAGTGGGACAAAGAGCAAACGCCAGGCCGCTGTGGGAGCTGTGGCCGTGCTGCGGCGGGGACGCCACCCCGTTCCGGCAGGCCGACCCAGGGGCCTGGCTCGGGAGCCCACTGTGACAGGACACGTGCGGATGTTGAGGGAGGCGGCCAGCGGCTAATGGAGGAGAGTTCTGGATGGAGAGGATGGTAGAGCATGAAGTGCTTCTCAAGCACAGGGGAGCACATGGGAAGACCATGGCTGGGCTGCGGTGAGCCAGGCGAAGCCCGGAAGGCACAC